AATAGGTGTTTTACTTTACTGTGGGTTGAGTTTCAGGTGCTGTTTCAGTATTTTGGCATGTTCCCTAGCTGTGCTAATGACCAGAAGGCCAAGAAGGCAAAAAGCTCCTGCCTGCCTTTCCCACCTATGCCAGTGTGGCTGGGCCCAGTGTTCAGGGCCCTCTTTTTTCTGGAGGTTTCTGCTGCCTCCAGAAGAAGTGGAGCACTCCAGAGGCAGTGCTCTCTGACTGCCTTCATGACCCCATTTGTCCCTGTCTCTGATTTTTTTGGCATGCAGGGATTCTGCTACACCTTTTGTGGAGCATCAGCATACAACCTTATGCTCTATTTGCAGTAGAAAAAACCCCAGCTGAAGGGTTTGAATGTATTCCCAGACACAGGTAACTCAGTCTGTACACGTTCTTACTGCTAATGGCCCTGGCCTAATTATGTGTAGGAAGTGGCAATATATTTCTGCTTGGCTGACCCCTTTCTTTCTCTATGGGAGAAAATTACTTGAGTCTGCATTAAAGAGAACCAAAATGCAGAGTGAGATTTGGGGTGGAGGAGAGGAGGAATATGAAGGTAATTCCTTTCCTTGGAAATCCGTTGTACTTGATGTGTTATCTGTGAGAAGATGTCATGATCCTGATCAGCAACTGCATATGTTTAAAAGGTCATGAAGTCAAAAAGTTTGTATAGAGGGATCAGTTCAGAATTTCCCTTTATTCTGTTGGCTAGAGCACTGCCAAAAGCTGCCAGCTGGAACAGAAAAACAAAGTTTGCAGAGTAAGGCAATATAATATCTGTATATATATGTATAATACCTGTTTTGACCATACCTGCTGCTCTAGGCTGCCATCCCGTCCCTCTTCTAGCTAAGAGTTCAAGTCAGACTTGAACTCTTAAGAGCCAAGAAATTCCAAAGTAATTACCAGAAATGCTGTCTGCTTGTGTTGTTATAAAAATAACAGGCTTTGTCTTATATGTGAAGGGTAGAGATTCAGCTAGCAAATTAAACTCATGACCTTAGTTTTTTTTTTAACTTCTGGGATCTCAGGGCCAGCCACCTTAAATTTTAATGTGTCTTGTGTTTGTGTGATGGAACTTGGACTTGTGTGGAACAGAAAAGTATCATGGGAAAGATAAGAGGAGCATTGCATGCGCAACTGCAGCACTGTTTACTGTTGTAACAGTTTAAGAAGGCGTACAGTGTCTGGTAGATTTGTTCTCATCTGTGGGTCAGAAGCTGTTCACTGAATTGTGACTGAGTGTGCTTTGTGTCTAAGCTTGATCCTAATATCAGGAAGCACAAGCTAGTGAATGCGAGCTCTTTTATTATGTGGAAATTAAACATCAATAGATGTGGAGGCACAAAGGAGCATGGGAGGACACAGTGCTGCTTTTGTGCTTTCACTGTATCCTCACATGGTGTGTCCCATCAGGATTCAATGAATGTGGTCCAAAGTCTGGCATTTCTCAGCTTTGTTGTGTTTTCTTAATATAAATTTAAAAAAAACAAAACCAAGTAACAAACAGAACAAATAAAAAACCAAAAGCAAATCCCAAACAAACAAAAAACCAAACCAAAAATTCAAGTCCATGACAATTTGCTTCAAGAACTTATGTTTCTGAACCCAGAACAAATCATATTGAAAAGGTCTGGATCATTTGCACCGTCTCTCAGTGTTTTTCTTTGTGTTGCTAATAGTAATCATGTGGACTCCTCAGAGAACTGTTCTGTAGGAAATAGAAGCTGCTACTTGTCTCTCTTTAGTGACATTGAGATTGTAAAGCTGGCCTTGCAGAGGAGAAGGCCTATAAAATAAATTATTTTTCTGCCTCTGATTGTGGTTAATTTTGACCTCGTGATGTTCTGATACCAAACCTGATGCATTTTTCCTTAGGCGTCTGGTCCACTTGGCTGTTTCTGGGAATGGGTAAACGTCACAGCAAATGCACAATATCTCAGAAACATTGATCTGCAGAAGTAAATTCTTCTGAAAATCATATTATTTTGTGGCTAACAACTTTTCCAAGTCTAGAAGGATTTCCATAGAAACAAGAAAAAGGCTGTATGTGAATTTGTGGTCTTACCATAATAAACTCATAAACTCTTCTATCCCTTGAGGATGAAGTATTTGGGATTTGTGCTAATAAGTTGGAAATATTTAGTAGGAACATAGCATACTTCTGCTCCTCTGTTTTTTTTCTCAAAAGCCACAGTAATATTTCAAAAACCATTGAAAGGTGAAATCTATAAAAATTGTATGTTCTGTACATCTCTCTGGTTTAGTTTGAATGTTCCGAAATAAAACACCAAATAAAAATAATCAGTTTGAGTAATGTGTTAGGATAAATGTGCATGGGAAAGTAAGTGTATGCTGGATTCAGATTAAGGAAATGCTTAAGAAATCATCTCTTTCCAGCTGGAGATCCCTGTCTGTATAACTGAGATCCGGATAAATAGACTTTCTCATGGTGAGGGTGACCATATATTGCCAGATTGTCCAGGAAGGTTGTGGAGTCTCCATCCTTGGAGATACTGGATCTGTCTGGACATGGTCCTTGGGATCCAGCTCCAGACTGCCACACTTGAGCTGAGGGGTAGACAAGGTGACTTCCAGAAGTCCCTTCTAATCTCAACCATTCTGTGGATGGGTTGTGTTAATCTCCATAGCTCATTTCAGTGTGAAATTAAGCAATTCTGTTTGCTTCACCTTTACAGTGAAATCAAAAGACAAGGCTCCATGTTGTGGAAAGGACTGACTCTTTCTCTCTTGTACAAAAGTGCTCATTACTCTTCAGTTGCCAATGATCCTGTATCCTGACACTGCTCAGTGGCTATTTCAGTGGCTGCATAAGTGGAACATTTAGAATGACTTGGCTTAAAAAAATAATAACTTTTGGTCTTTTTGTCTCCTAAAAAATTGAATAAGTTTATAGTTGATAGGGGGACAGAAGAGGGATTAGGTAATGCAAGACAGCAAAAAATGGCCCAGTTGCTGAAAATTTTGTATCATAGAAGAAGTACCTGGAAGCATCCAGACAACCTTTTGCCCTTTCTCAGGTCAAATCTTACTAAACTTGCTACAAAGGAGCACAGCTATGTGTATTCTGTCAGGATATGCTTCCTGAGAGAACCTCTAATTACAGATATTAAAATAGCATCATTGTGGAAGTAATATAGTGTTGTGTGTTTGACCTTTTTTTTTTTTCTTACTGGCAGCTGCCTTAGGAAGGGGATTTTGTTTTATGTTGGATAGAACTAAGGTCACAGAAGTCAAGTATCAGGCTTTTGGAAAGTTAGTAATAGTCTCTCCTAGTTTTACAGGGAGCTTGCCCAAAGCCTTATCTTTTTGTACTTGAGACAGTCCTTGCTTTAGTTATGTCCTGTAGTCATTTTGTGTTTTGAGCAAAGTTAGTGCTTGTACCACAGGCTTGAGGAGAAATTGTCAGAGTCCAGTATTCTTTGACCAGGCTCATTTAGATATTCTATGTGTAGAGCATGCAATGTCTAATATCAGATTTCATTATGTGGAGATACTTACTGTGATATGCTATTTCTGATTTAGTGAAGCAATGCAAAGTATACTGAAATCACAGTGCAAATATCCATTATACTTGGCAAAATGTAGCAGTGGCGATATATAGTTCTATTTCAATACCAGTAAGATTCCCATCACTGGTCTCTATAATCCCAGCATCACAACACTGGGCATTCTCTGGGATGGAATGTGTGGATTGAAACTAGCTCAGACTCAGTGCTGTCTTTGAATCTTTTTTTTGTTGTTTAGTTTTTATTCTACTGTATTGGGTTAAGCCACCTGTTCACTTAGCTCATGCTGGTCTGGCTTCCTCAGGGAGGCAGCCACACTCTTTAATGAGCTAACTGGGGGAAATATTTACTCCATCAGTTGATCCACTCAGCTGTTGATAGAACTCCTAACACCCAAAACAAACATCTGGTCCCTTTTGTCTTGAGATAAATAGATGTCTTGCTTTAGAAAAGCTGTGGTCAGTCACAGAAGTGCAGGTTGCAGACCAGGGTCCAGTTGATTGTGTGATTTAGAGACATGCCACCTATAGAGGATCCCTTCCTGATGAACAGGAGTCCAATTGCTGAGCTGCTAGGATTTCTACTCTAGCTCATTCAGCCCTGGCTTGTCTAAGTAACTTACTTTTCCTTTTACAAGGGAAAAAACCTAGATGGTCTTTCATCATATAAAATTATGTGTGGCAGGAAACCTGCCAAGAGCAGACATTTAGCAGCATTTCTGTCATATGTAGACATAGGCAACTGAAATATGGAAGTCGTAATGAATGTGTGATACTATGCCTTGAGAAGGGATGTTCACTGGAAAAAAACACTACCTGTGTTTTCATTTACAAAAGTGTTTCTTGGTTGAGCATTCATTTAGCATCCTTTATGTGGAGGGAGTTTGGCTAACCTAGTTTTTTCCTTGCATGCATCTTGCATGAGTAATGTTGCTTTGAACTATTCATTCCTTACATCTATTTGTTGCTTAGGATACCTTACTTGGAGAATTTAGTGTCCTGACAAGGAATGTCTCCCTAGAAATTCTGGAGTAGTGTCTGCTTGCATTTCCTTGATAGCTGGGAAAGAATAGCTTTAGTACTGCCCCAAAAGCTTACTTAACCCTTCATGGATTTTAGCAGGGACAGTGCTGCCTGTGGTTCCTTGGTTAAAAGTACCTCCTAGTTTAAAGTCACAGCTAAACCAGGGTCTGGATAACTGCAGACAGAGTATATGTGGGGTTTAAGGTACCAGAGCCCAAGAGTACAAATATTTCTGGGCTGTTTCTGTATCTCTACAGAAAGAGATGTCCAGGTGGGTAATTTTTTTCTGTATCTTCAGTGTGCCTGATCTACTATGTCATCCATCAAGAAGTCAGGAAGTAATGATAAAGCCTGCATGTCCCTTGTCTATTGTCTTTTAATGTGACATTCTAATTAATGCTCACATCTGACCTATTTTTTTTCCTGTGCTGTCTATTTCAGTGCTTGATGGCCACAGCAGGACACTAAACAATATCAGAAAAAACACAGCATTAAGAGTTATAATTTCCACACGACTGGCTGGAAATGCAGTTGTCACTGCCTTCCTGGTGCAGCATGGCATTTGGACCTGGTGTTCTCTGCCTGTTCCTATGGACAATAACAGGTAGGAGTTTACTTCTGTGTCTGAGTCATCCAGACAGAACAAGTGAATTAAATGCTCCTGGAGTGTGTATACAGCTGTGAAATAAATATGAATAAAGCAAAAGCTGGGAAATCTTGTGACTCCTCAGTGCGAAAAGCTTTAGTAAGTTACAGTTTTGTAAATTGCAATGAAGGAAGCTAGATGTGAGATGTTTGAAGCCAATTTCAGCAGGCTGTTTTGGGGGAGATGCATGGGGCAAGAGTAGGTGGTGGGAGAGTTCAAAGAGTTTTCCCTCTTTTTCTGTTGCAGGAGAGCAATTGAAGACTAATATGTTGCTTGTGTTGTGAGCTACATTTTTGTTCTGAATTATCATAAAATGGTTTATATATGAGTAGCATGAGTGCACTGGTTCCTTTCAAAAAACACAGGAGAGTCCTATAAGTTTCTGCTTCAGCCACAGGAATAGGTAATTTATTTACATAACCAGACAGATGAAGAATGATATTTAATACTGCCTCTGTCAGAGAGAGACTTAGTGCAAGTAGTTTTGATATGGTAGCTGAAAAAAATATATGAAGTGGGGTTTATTTCAAAATATTGTTTGAATTCTATCTGTGGTGGTAGTGGTAGTATCCATATTAGCAGAAATTGAGATAAATAATGCACTGTTTCTGACTTTCATCTCTTGTACTATAAACAGAATGGGCTGTTTCTTGAGGCAGAGACTTGCTTAACGTGCTAAGGCTTAAATTGACTGCTGAATTTGGAGAAGTTGGATGAAAGGGAATAGATATTAGCCTACAGCTGAGGAGGATAGGCACTAACTATATCTTAGCTTATATATGGTTCAAGGTAGTCAACAAGATCACTGTGAGGCTCTCATAGTGCCATGCTTTTTTAAGAGAACATGGAGCTGACTTTTTTGTTGCTGTAGTGAACAGGAGTACCTGCTGTAAGGGTCTGTGCTAGTATCTTTAGAAAAGAAAACCACAGCAACTTCAACAGAACACAGTAACATGCAGTAAATACTGAAATTTGCCTGTGGAGAATGTCACAGTTTCATGCTTTTGATAATACTGTTAATTGTTAGCAGATTAGAATATCTTCCACTTGCACATAGGAAGTTATCTGTTTTTAGTTGCAAATTTGCTATGCTCTCTTGGCTTATTTTAGAACAAGACCATTGCTCTCAAAATGTTGGCTGTATTTCAAGCCTCAACCTGTATCTCAACTACCAGCTCACAGTGTTTAGAGAATCATATAATCTAACAGCTCATATTATTTTAGTAAAAATGTTAGTATTTATTTCCATCTCAATAATCTGCAGTATTTTTAATACAATTAAAATTTAATTAAACTGGGAGGTTCCTGCTAATTTCCAGGATATGCTTGCTACAATGTATCATTAAATGCTCACATCTTCCAAATCAAAAGGACTTCTTTTTAGTGCAGGCTTTAAGGTAAATTGACTGAGACTCAGGAATTTGCTAGATGTTCATTCTGCAGTTTTTTTCTGCACATGAGCTTGTTTTTTCAAAGGCTACCTTTTCTTAAAAGAACCTCCAAGTTATCACAACACTTTTTTTAAATTAAGATATTGAGAAGAATGACTTAATATAGGAAAGAAAAGGCTTGACATTCCATCACTGAGAGAGGAAAGAAACAGCCTCACTGATGAATAATGTTGGAAGGATATTGAAAAACATGGTCTGGTTCATTAAAAGAAATTGAGGTGAGCTACTCTGGCCTGTTTAGGTGATGTTTATTTAGTTTTATTTCATGCATGATGGTTTCTGACTAATAGTGTTTTACTGCTTTTAATAAATGTGTGGGTTGACCTTTGCTGGCTGCCAGGTACACAGCAAGTCACCCTATCATTTCTCTTTATCAACAAGATGGGAGAGAAAAATACAATTAAGAACTCCATGAACTGAGAGACAGGGAGGTCATGTACCAGTTACAGTCAAGAGCTGATGAGACTTGGCTTAGTGAAGTTTATTTAATTTGTTGTAGATTAAGCAGAGCAGGATAATGAGAAGTAGGAACTGCTATAAAAACACCTTGCCCTCACTTCTCCCATCTTTTTATATTCAGCTTTACTCACAATTCTTCTTCTTTCTTCTTCCCTGAGCAGCTCAGAGAGCCAGGGAGTGAAGGTTGCAATTAGTTAATAATGCTTCCTCTCTGTTGCTCCTTTCTCCTCACACCCTTTCCCTACTCCATCATGGGGTCTTTTCCATGGACTCAAATTCTTCAAAAACTATTCCACCATGGGTCCTTTTCACATGAAAGTCTTTTAGGAACAGGCTGCTCCAGTGTGGATCCCCTGCGGGGTCATAGGTCCTGCTGGAAAATATGTTTCAGTCTGGGCTCCCCTTCATGGCTTTGAGGTTCAGGCCAGGAGCCTGCTCCAGCCTGGGTTTTTCAAGGATTCACAGCTTCCTTCGGGGCTTACCCATCTGCTTTGAAGTGGGGTCCTTCATGGGCTGCAGGGGCAGGTATCTGCTTCACTGTGGATCTCCATGAACTGCAGCAGGACAATGTTCTTCACCATGGTGTTCACCACAGCTACAGAGGAATCCCTGTACTGGTGCTGGAGCAATTCCTACCCCTTCTTCATTGACCTTGTTGTATGCAGCATGGCTTTTCTCACATTTTCTTACTTCTCCCTCCTGCCTGCTACAGCTGTGCCAGACTTTTTGACCCTTCCTAAAATCTTATCGCAGAAGAGCTGCCACTGTCCCTGTTTGGCTCAGTCTTGGCCAGTTGTAAGTCAGTCTTGTAACAGGGTCTGTCCTGACATGGGGCATTTTCTGGTGTCCTCTCACAAAGACATTCCAACAGTCCATTTCCCCCTGCCCCAGCTACCAAGATTTGCCACATAAACCTAATTGATGCAGATACCCATCACTGACTAATGTTCATGCCTGTCAGGAAGCTTGAGCTGAGCACAGCAATAGGTACGAGTGTGTACCATGCTTCTCTCACTCAACATCTCATGTATTTTGGGTGATTGAGTTCCAAAATCTCTGGATGCAGCTCCTAATTTATCCATGTAGACAGTCCTTAGCATGCTTAAAACCTCTTTTCACTTTTTTGAATCCATTCATTAATGAACACAGCATATATTGAAATACATTTCAGCTATTCTGGGCATTAATTATTGGTTTTTGCTAATGTATCAATTTCTTTTTTCTCTATGAGAGAGAGGAGACGTTGTTTTCCAGCACAGAAACACGATTCCAACTGTGATTCCAGTATCTTGGAAGCAATTAAGTCTAGCTCTCATCTTGAGCAGGCATATTCTAATTTGGCATTTGAAGCAGACCTTGCAAACACTGCTGTTAAAATGCATTTCTGCAAATGTTATGAGTAGCGTTCTCACGGCTTACTCTCAGTTTTGTCATATTGTGTGTGTGTGTTGTGTGCTTTGTTTTGTGATTAACCACTCCAACAAAAATATAAACAGTGATTGCTAGGTAATTGCAGTCACAGGTGTTGTGCCATCTAGTGTCCTGTTTTCAAGCCCACGTAGCCCAGATGTAGATTCTATGATTTCCCAGATTCTTTGATAGCCTTCCCCCATGACCTTTTCTTAACTGTAGCAGAAGGTATTTCTGAATACGTTACCAGTCCTCAATTTTTAACACACTTCGCTACTACTGGTCTTGGACTTTGAAAAAGATTAATACCCTTTTCTTCCCACATATCTAACATGTAAAGCCCAGGCCAGTAGTGTCAAGGAACACTTTAAGATATAGGGATGCCTTTGAAATGACAGTGGAACCACTGCCCTGGGGGTGTGGTGCATTCTTTGTTGCTTATACTACCATGCCTAGATGTTCTATGTCCTGGTTCACACAGGTCTTTCCAGAGATTCAAGATGGTGCAGTGCTTGATTACAATCTCTGAGATTATAGTGAGTTATGCTGTATGCCAGGTTAGTTCACATTGTCCATACCTCTGTTGGAAGTGGTCTGGTATTTCCTTGTGGAGGGAAGCAATAGTTGCAACTGTGCATCTGCCCTTCTTTTTTATTTTTTAATTTTTTTTCCCCTTCTATTTAAATAGCACTTAGTTGGTTTATCAGTGACAAACAGGGATGATGACAATTCATGGAATGAAAACAGTACCTGGAAAGGATCATCAGACCCACTGAACTAATTATGACTGATCCTGGACAAAAGAAGTGTGAAGACTGCTGTAATGACCATAATGGCTTTGCAGATCATTATTTGCAGATGTAACTAGATTACTGTTGATAGCTTGTGTTGAGGATTTGGTTTTATGTACTGAGCACTTTTTAATCTGTCTGTTCCTCAGTCATCACCTTTACCAATACCCAAAAGGGTACTTTGTTATCACATATGTATCTGTGTTTAAAGACCTGAGAGATGTCAGGGTCTCGACAACCTCAGAGCAGCCTGCAGTAAAAGAATGAAAATGCTTTCATGGTGTGCAGAGATGTTAGCTGCTGCTAGAGTCCAATATAGTTAAATTTCAGCTATTGAAATGTTCAAATATCAGTGATACTGCTTTTCTGGTTTCCAGGACTGCACCTTCTGTAGGGCATCATCCAAGGTGATGGAATATAAGCCTTTTTCATCGTTTATGATATGAAATGTGCTTAGGTTTATAGCTCTGCTGTGGAAATTCTCTGTGGCTTGAAAATTGGAATTTTAATTTCTCCTCTTAGATGACTGTAACTAAAAATAAAACTTTTTTAATTTTCCTTCCAAAAACTTACCAAAATTGTTTCAGTGTTTTATTATGGCAGTAGTAATGATACAATGTCTTTCATCTCAAAATTCACTAAATGAGGTAACAGTTACTTGGATAGATTTAAAAAAAAATAAAAATCACTAAGCCTAAAAACAGAATAGAACTAGTTTCCAAAAGAGAGTGGATGGAGCTTATGGCAAGAAAACGTGGACAATCCTATACTTCCTGTAGCAAACTGCTACATCCTATGATCCTCCATGGTCAGGTAGTTCAGAGACTTTTAGGCTGTGAGATTAATGTTCTATGTGGACCCTCAATGCTATGCTGTCAGCAAAAAGGTAGTGGGATTCTGGTGAAATGTGATTTTTCTTGGTGTGAGATCTGAATCTGAGCTTTTCTCTGTTACTGTACATTTTCTCTTGCCCCTTCTTTCTGCTTCTTCTTACAGTGCTTGCTGCTAGGGAAAGCAAGCAGACTGGATAGTTCTGTCCTTGCAGGGCTTCCTGCTGGGGTAATTAGCTGTGATGACCTCAATGTTAGCACACCCTCACAATTTGCTACTGACTGACTAAAGAACACTTACCACCAAGTCGTTCAAGTGCTTATGGCTGTGCAAGCATAAGGAAGAGCAACTCTTAGGTTTCCATGCCCACTTGAGGAAAGGTCTCTAGCCAACTGCAACAGGGGAACTGCTGTGTTCCTGATGGGCTCTTGACATCAGTGGACTCTTGTTTCAAGATGTGAAGGGGCAGAAGTGTGAAGCTCAAAAAGAGGTGAAATCTCAAGAAAGAGGTGAAAGCTCAAAGAAAGGAGGGACTATCTTTAAAATGAGACTATATTCCACAGTTTGACTATTAGGATTTTGGTGGGAGATATAGGTTGGGATTTTTTAAAGGTAGCCATCTTGCCTGACTAGGTCTTTGGATATGTCAGTGTTGTCCTAGTGTATATGTAACAGGGTGCAGCTAACACTTAACCTTTGCAGAAGTTTTAGGCTTCTGCTATTTGCAGAAGTATTTAGGCTACTGGAACTCATGTTCCAGTGGGTTTTTAGGGCTTTTAACAAAGGGTATCAGTCTACCTGTTGATAACTTGAATGAGTACTTCTGAAACAAACAGAATTGCATGATGCTGGTTTTTGCCGTCAGAGTAGAACAGTGGTTTTATTCCTGTGATCAGTTAACTAAAATAAAATCTCTGTGCTATGACCTTACACGGTGAGTAATACTGTAGCAGATACAAATGTTACTAAGTGACCTTTCATGTGGTACACTCCCAGTAAATTTTCTGTAAATAAGAGACCTCACTGTCTCTATTTGAGTCCACTGCAGACTGGAGATTAGATGAAAGAGAATATGAAATTAGAAATCAGATCAAGGTCACTCTAAGTATATTTTTCATGTGAAGATAACTAGTGGACGCAGCCAGTGTGAGGCCAAAATAGCTTGATACAATTCATCCTTTCTTGCATCCTTTGTAGCACTACTGCTACAATTCAACTCAGGTGTAATGCTAGAAAAAACAAGAGACGAAACTTCCATCTAGCCAAGGTTTGTGGGTAGGCTGCGTGCCTGGGAGATCTAGGTTCAAAGTCATGTATCATCTTAGGAATGTGCTGGACTTGTTTCTCTCTATGGCTAAGGAAGCACCATGAATTTTGAGGAATGTTGACTCTGCAGTATGATAACTGATGTGTCAAACTGCAAGTGGTGGAGTGAGATTTGAAGCTTATTGAGGACTTGAAGTCTGGCCTCCGGTTAGAGCTGTGGAGTGTCCCAGTTGTGTAGGCCTGGCTCTAAAACAAGAACTGCTGGCCATTCTGTTCTGAATGAATAAATTGTGAATTCTTCAGTTGTTGTTTTTTTTTAAACACACTCTTCACTTTCAGGAATAAGTTAAAGAAGTGGGGGAGATGAAAGGAGCTTTCATCAAAGGAGCTTTTTGGCCCACATTAATAGTGCTGTTCCTAAAGTATCCATTGTAATGATTTTTTTACATATTTGCACAGAGTCATGTTTCTGTTTTCCCTTTTTAAAGGCCTGTTTCTTATCTCTCTACAGATTTATAGGACTAGCTAAATGCATATGAGTTGTAAAAGGACAGAATGGTTGAATGGGATGCCTCACTCCTATACTTCATTTTAACCCAGAGTTTGTCTGGCTCTCCTGTTCTAAGTTGTGCAGACAAAGGAAAGACAGAAAAATTGTGATGACAATTCCAAGTATCTGCCAGGGCCTTATGTTCTTGGAGATAAAAGGGAATGTAGAGGAAATATTTATATGCAGTATAACAGAAAAGAAATGCAGAAATCTTGAGCATCTTCTGGGTACAGATAAGGATGCTTCATGTTGGGGCTGTGTAAGAATAGGATAGATGGTTTTAAGTGCATGTTTCCCTGGATAGATTTTTTTTTTCACTGAAAGTATAAAGTGGAACAGTTGACAGCATCCTAGCTCTGTGTGAAGGAGTGGCTGCAGTAAGAAAAATGGTACTTGAATCTCTTTATCCATTTTGTCAGCTTCCTATTCAGCTATATCTATTTGCAAGTCAACAATCTTTAAATTTTTTTTTCATTTCATGCCTTTCCTTACCCCACACAGACAACTGCAAAACCATCCTTCCCACTATGTCCCTCAGTATGTGGTGAAATTTTTGTTTGTTTGTTTGATTTGTTTTTGGGTTTTTTTGCATTGGACTAACCTACTTTTCAAGCTCTACATTCTTCCTGGGAAGTTTGATTCCTCACATATATTTTGATAGCTGTATTCAGACCATGTATTGTGAAGGAGTTCAGCCCAGATGAGGTGGTGGGGACTGGACACATGCATCTGTTAGAGAATCTCTGCAGCTCATATTCACACCTAACCCCTATTGCCAGCCTATTCCTACTCTGTGATTTCATTTTTCCTGACCTATAGTATTGTGAATAAAGAGCAACAAAGCAATGCCATCTTTGTCTTCCATTCCTGTGTTAGCTCCACAGTAGGGGCATGTTTGCTTTCATTCATTGAGTCTTAAAAACCAATGTGAATAATTTTCTGGTTTTACTCAACTTTCTTGAAGCATAATCAGATTTTAGGGAGAGGAATTCTGAAGAGTAGCTATATCAGGGAAAAAAACACCTAGAAAAGATGTTAAAAACTGACTGGAATATATAGCATGTTGATTCATGCTTTTTTTTGACCATTTCACACTCAGTCTGTAATGTGCTATGAAAATAATTCTGTTGTCATGTTAAAAGATTGCAGCTTTACTGCAAATAAAGGAAAAAGCTCCATACTGGAGCATGCTCTTGGGTTTTCACATGAACTTGTGGGTAAAGCAGAAAAAGTTTGAGAAATTCATCCAGGTTTTGTATTAAGACCAGTTAGTATGTTGGAGTGAGGAACTCTTCATGACGTTCAGATGAGATGGCAAATCTTTCTCCTATTTAGAGTTTTGCTCCCTTCTCCCTCAAGTGAAATAATAACATGCTACAGCACCTTATTTGCATTTTAAGACATGTTTTTACATGTTATGGTAGTAATGAAGGTACCTATTTATTTATTTATTTATTTATTTTTTTATTTCTCTGCTCTGTTCTTGTTTTTAAGTATTGGCAACTTGTTTTCATCTCTATGTATTTGAATTTGTAGTGTAGGAGTAAAAGGTACTTATGCAAAATATGTCAAGGTCCTACACTGAAAAATCGTCCAAAGTACAAATAGTACTGCAAAGGGACATGCTTTAAAAAGGTAATGGTGATGCTAGTGAAAGGAGATGAGCTTTTTTAAAGAGGCTACCACCTGTCTCTGTATTGTAAGCCATTTATGGTCACAGAAAACTATATTATGGGTTGGTTGTGGTGCTGTACCTTATGTTGGTGGTGTTGTTGCAGGTTCCAGTTGTGAGCAGTGCAGAGAAGGAGCCACATACTCAGGTGCAGTAATATCTCCCAACTTAGAAACCACTAAAATCATGCGAGTTCCTCACGCTTTGTCAGTGTCCGACTGCATCGCGGCGTGTTGTGACCTCTCTGGTTGTGACTTGTCTTGGATGTTTGAACGGCGCTGTTACATCGTGAGCTGCCAACACAAGGACAATTGTGAACCTAAAAAAATTGAAACTGTCAAGTCCTACCTTACCTTTGTGCTGAGGCCTTCTCAGAGGCCAGCCTCACTGCTAGGGTTTGGGCAAGTGATCCCAAGCATGGTCCACTCCGTGGGACTCCAGAATGAGCCGTCAGAGGACGTGAGTAGCCTGAAGAAGCTGTCTCTGCTTGGAAAAGATCCCAGCCTTGAGGAGATACCTGAGTACATTGATGATTATAAAGAGTTGGAGCAGGACCCCTTTCAGGTGGGCATCAAACACGAGCAGAAGGACAGTATGGATTATGCTGACTGGGGCCTCATGGTGGCAGGTGAAAATGGCTTCAACACTTCCACAGGTGATGATGGAGATAACCAGGAAGATTTTGCTGAAAAGAAAGGGGAGGCTGGGAAGGTAGAGAGTCTTCTGAATAAAAATAACTCTGAACTGACTTCCATCAATGAACACTCCACAGACAGGTCGTCCCTTCTGGAGATTACACCACCCCCTGGGAAGACATTTGAAAGGGAAGCAGCTGTTCCACTTCTTGCACAACCTGAGGATGCTTTGCAAAAAGAGGTATGTTTGCCCCTCAGGAAGCAGGCAGAGTGTCATAAGGCTATTTGGAAATTATTTTAGTTTTCAAATATTTGAAAATCTTAGATTATTGTTTTGTAATATTACAATTGTAATTACGTGTTACCATGTAGAGGTGGCTGAAGGGGATAGGATTGTTTTAAGAGGCAGGTGAATCACTAAAGGACTTCTTTTTTTTTTTTCTTTTTTTTTTTTCCATCAGATGATAAGGAGTAAAGTTCCTTTTAGGGCACTGTGAGGTTTCCTTGAAAGTGTACAAATGCACCTGGACCTGGTGTAATAGTGTTACGGTGGTGCTTACTTCTGACCCCTGGTGACTCACTGCAAGAAGTTAGCAGAGCAGTATTAGTAGATCCTCTTTGGTATCCAAAGGCCAAGACTGGGGAACATAAGCTATTCCATCAATAAAATTAGGCCTGCTTCATGGGTTTTATGCTACTAATGCACAGTGGTGTTACAGATGTAAGAGCTGAGTTAATTTTTATAATGCTTTTAAAACTTGAGAGGGGCATGGAATTTAAGGAGGGATGATAGCAGTTTTGGAACATGATGTGTAGCAGGATGAAGTGGATAAGGTGTTTCTGTTCTCAGAATCCTTGAGTCTGATAATTAGAAAAAGAAATCAATTACTTAAAATCCAGTAAATAAATCAGTGTAAGTAAGACGCATCTGTTCTCTGTTTACATAAGGTACACCTGTTTTCTATTTATGCCAACTAGTTTGATCAGTTGAGACTAAAGGGGCCTTGGTTTCTAAAGAACAGGATGTGTTCATTTGGAAAGTTTAAACAGGCTGTAAATTCAGATTCCCTGGGTTTGACTCTCCTTGCCAGAGGAAAGAGGAAATTGATCAATTTTAGCTGACTTGCTCAAAATTCCACAAGATTTTGTAACCAGCAAGTATCTCTTGCTGTAAAAATGATAATTTATTGCCATTTATTGTTACTGTAGGGAAAAAAAATGCAAGCAAATAAGAAATTTGAAATTACATCTGTGATAAATACAGTTCTGGGAGGAAATAACTGATGTGTGGAGAGCAGCAAGTCATGAGAAACAGATAAAGACTTCAGTTAACTGGAATGAGTCTCCTATTAACAGCCTTGGTTCTCATGGTGGATTTAAGACACACCAATACCTACTGGGAGAGCAAGAGAGCAGGGCAAAAGCTGTGCAGAAAGTTTCTGATGTTTGTTGATAATTTAAAGAATGTTATTACTTTGAATTTCTTCCAGGAGTTGAGGAGAGAGACTCCACTAGACCTCAACCTTGCAGGAACCAAGGGATTAGTTAGAGATCTAGGCATGAGGTGGAAGCTCCTAGGAGGGGAAGGAATTAGTGAGGAAGCAGGGTCACAACTAAGGGCTACAGTAGAGCATTCTTTGGCCTGTTTTAGGATCTGTTTGGAAGAATGGCAAGGGAGACTGCCCTGGAGTTAAGTGGGGGCCATGATAGCAGGTTGCTTTTCAAGGACCACCTCCTGTAGAGTCAAGGTAGCCTGTGACTTTTATGACGGACTAAGTTGGTCTGGAGTGTATTGGCATAAGTGAGAAGAGATTAAAACTCATCTTCATGTGTATGGAGGAACACTTGACAACAGAACGAGTGCTGTGACAAGCTGAAAACTGGTACTACTACTGCAAGAAGAGCTGATGATGGGAGACCTGTTTTAAAAAGTTCCTACCATGCACACCTCAAAATGAGCATAATTAACATGGGGTTTAGGTGAGAGGAGTAGATGTTGTTTGGGTTTTTTTCTTAGTATGCAAAATGTATGTATATGTGTACATATGAAGAGTATGATACCAAAGTATGTCTCTGCTAATAAAATCTAGAGTGACATTCTGTCATGAACTAGTGCTGCAGTTATTTCTAACACAGGGCAATAGCTGAGCTGTTCTTACAAAATTAAAAAATTAAAAGTAAGGACATTCAACCACTGCTATTCTAAATTAATCTCCCATATTTCCTTCCATCTGCTAGGGGAAACTTGCAAGCATCTTTTAGTTCCTGCCTGTGTAGTGTGATGGAAATCAAGCCACACCAAGAGCCTGCAGTAGCTCTCTGCTCCATCACACTTGAAACTTGTTTCCATTGCATTTTGCTATCTAATGGAAGACCCGTTAGCATGGTCCTAATCTTTAGCCAATTGTCAGGATCCCTGCTGACTGAACTGCTTATGCTTTGCACCTTAAAGGAGTTGTAAAACTTTGAGTTCACCTAAACTATGTGTCAGAGCTGAGCAAGTTTGTTCCCTGTCTCTAAGGGATCACGTGAATACCATTTTATGAAAGCTGAGATTTCACATCCTGCAGCAGTGATAAATATGGCCAAGCCTACTTTGTAGATCTCTACTTTGATTTTCCTACCCCAACCAGAATATAAAGATTTTGCCTTCTCTTTCTACACTGTGTAGATGGGAGTTTATTGTGAAGTGAAATGGAGAGAAACCTATTTCTCACTGGGACACAGAGGAGTCATTCTTGTGTGATCTTTATATTATGCTAACATTATGCTAGCACCGCCACTGAAATTCCAATAGAAAGGCTGGGGAATGAGCTTGCTGCTTTCAGTGCAGAAGGGATGAAACTCCAAACCTGGGTCAGTCTTTAGCCAGAGCTCATAATGATGCTGAAGAACTGATAAGACAAGTATGGTTAGGAGGTGGTTGGGACGTGCTGTGTGAGCAGAGCTGTAGAAATTACGTTAGTGGGATAACATCAAAAGCTGTTCAAGGCATTTATTGAGAAATTACTCTAAAGGCTCTCTATTAATGTAAAGAAAGAATCTGGGGAAATTGAAGGCTTTCATAAGCTGCCAAGGCCTATGAAACCTTTGTTTCCTAGGTGGGAATCCTTTGCATTTAGAGATGTGTGGAGAAATGGAGATGATGAGCGGTTTTAGCAAATAGTTTTCTCTGACCTTCCCTATAATCAACCTCAGTCCAGACAACCTCCTCTCCCCTTCCTAGTCTCCACTCCCCTTCCTTTCACTACAGATCATGCTCTGTCTCTTTGGTGAGGAAACAGGTCGTACAGGAAGTTGGGATCAGTAGGTGGCAGTCTCCTTTTTGCCACTTGTCACTTTTTTCTCTTTTCTGCCTCTGTTCCTTCCTTTTTGTTTCATCTGCACTACTGTGGGCTTCTCTGTGGGCCTCATTTCCCTGGGAGGTGGCATGCAGTGCATGTTTCCATGAGGGTGTCTCCACCCCTGTGCACAATAATGTTTGCTTCCAGATGTTTCCTCTCATGTGCATTCCTGTTGTGCATCCCCCCACATCCTCCTGTGTCCCCTGCTCACAGTGGCAATTGCCCTTTTTCAACTAGGTTTGAGAGGCTGCTGTGGTGGTGCATGGTGGCTTGATTCCATCCACTGCCAAACTGACTGGGACTACCAGGGTGGCCTCTGCAGCCAGTCCTCTGCCCACCTAAGCCCTGCCAGGTGTTCCTAACATAAATTTTCAGCTTGGCCTCAAGTTTTTCTGGTTTGGGAATTTTATTTGTGACCCTAGTGAAACAGAAGCTGCCTGTGATATATTCAGGTGGTAGGATTTCCTTCTTCTGTGTCTCCTTCTCCAGGTAGCAGAAATTTTCATCAAATCTCATTCAGATTGTTTAGCACATATTTGTGTTTTCTTCTGAAAAAAAAGTTAGTTTTTGAAAACCAAATTTTGTTATGAAGGAAAACTTAAACTTTTACACTGGATTGAAAATGCTGAGAGGTCTCCAAATAGTTTTTTTGTTGTTATATAATCCAAACAACCTCTCAAACTGTGGTGTTTTAGTACAGGTTATGAAAATATGAAGGTCTTAAAATCATGCTTACTACTAAGTTTAATGAATTGTCCTGTTTATTGCACATTATACAATGTTTTCATATAATCCTCTCAATTCTGCCACAGCAATTCTGTATCTCTGTTCCTGGATCTCTGCTGACGCACTCCCTTCTGCAGCTTCCAGACAAAGCTGTTTTGACAAGCCAGACAAAGCAAGGTGGCAAAAATGCGAGTCCCTGATTCCCTTCCTTCGCAGTAGTCAGCAGGATGTGGTGTCCTCAGGTGCTGTATTCTTTGAGCAAGGACCTGCACAGAGATTTTAAACTCTGAAACCAACCAAACACAGACATCTGGAGTCTGTGCCCTTGGAGCATCCTTGTCATAAATGCAGTCAGGTGCAGGGATTTTGTGTATGTGATTTGGGAGAGGGAAGATAGGGTTTGTCATTTAAGTGAGTCACCTGACTGTTGGGTTTACATCAGAGTTCAGAGGGATCCTATGGACTGTCACTCTCTGGCAGCTCAATAACATGAGTACATTCAGAAATCTGTAGAGTATATGCTGTCCAGCTGCCCAGAACAGAAATCTGCTCGTCCTTGAAGTTAGATATCGGCAAAGAATTAATTTTCTTTTTAAAATTTCCAGTTAACTGCTGATCTGCTAAGCCAAGTAAGATTTTTCAGGTCTTAGTCAGAGTCTAGCTGCTGCTATGTTGATGCTGCAATGTTCCAAGCATTTACTCAGTAGCTAAGGTCTGACTTAATTCTTGTGCTTACTGTATTTGCAGGGATAATAGTGCAGTCAAAATACATAAATCTCTACCTAAGAAACCTTAAGATGGCTGACAGAGTATATATGATGGTGAACCTTTTAGTGTCTGATTGGCTTGCCTTCAGAATTCATATTTAAGACTTAGAACACAGTTGAATATCATAGATGTTCATCTCTTGATTTGGCTTTGTTTCAGCTTTGAGGCCTGCAGAAGCTGGACAGTTCTGTTTGGTTAAAAATACATTGAGTTGATCCATAGAGGATGTATAAGATCCCTGAAAGATGTTCTGATATTTAGATTTACCTTTCTTTTTATTTTGAAGTCTGTCCTTCATGTTATATGATTGTTCTCATTTTCTGTTGGAATTCTCAAGAGATTTCTCAAATCAAACCCAGAGAACTGGAGGATGTGGGCCCTCACCACTGGTGTATTTGTATCAAGCAATAGTGGCTGTAAAAAAGGGTAAAAGCAAACAACCCACAAAGTCCCTACCAACAAAACTGCCTATCAGACTCACTCCCAAGCTGGAATTTAGGTTAATCTCACCCTCCACTTCTGTTCCAGCAAATCTCTCAGTAATAGTTTCTGTCTGAGAACTTAATTTCTGATATTGTCCCTGCCCCAGTTGTCTGCTGTCTGATAACATTTTTAGTTTGTTTTTTTTGGCTGTGACACCGCTTCAGATGTGACAGTGCCACAGGGCACCTTTTTTGACTGCAGTGTCTTGCCTAAGCTTGCTGACTGAAGTGATGTTTGGTGCCACTGCAGAAGAGGCACCCTGGAAGGTTTGTTTGAGGTGACTTTGTCTCTATCTGTCCTTCAAAGCCATGATGGCTGCTTTTCAGCTGCTGGATTGGCAAAGAACATGGAGAGGAGAGAAACCAGAGGAAGCTTAGGAAAGTAGACTTCCCTCAAATTGAGAAGGCAAAAGAACACTATGATTTGCCCACGTATGGGAAGAAAATCCTTTATGAAGATGAGGGGTGGAGTGAGTATGCAAAGGAGACCTATCTGGAGGAAAGACCTTTTGTCAAGATACAAGGCAGGATGGGCTTGAGGCTCTCCCTTTACATGATGCTGTCAAGGGTGAGATTCCTGAAGGCACTGCTTTAGGGGAGCTGCAGCCCCTGATCCTATCAGTGTCCAGCTGCTCAGAGAGTACTGTGCATATGGAGCAGAGCTGGAGGTGGTGTCTGTGTTACAGACTCACCTAAAAGTGCAGCCGGTGCACAACATTGTTGTCCTCAGCATCCTCAAGGGTGGGCAGCTGCAATCCCTGACACTGCACAGGGATCTTTTCTTTGTGTCCATTGTTGAAGCTTGAGATGGAGTTGCAGATGACTTCTGTGCTCTGTTTCCTTGCAGGCTGGGAAGAACCAATTCCTGGCATTGCTTTCGCATTCCCAGCTACACAGGGAGTTTTTTCTCCTGTCCACAAGGCAGGGCTGCTCTTATTTCCTAGGGAGGCAAACTACAAAGGGAAAGTAGAGCACCTGAAATGCAAAGAGGAGAGAGTTGGGACTGTTCAGCCTTGAGCAGAGAGGGTTCAGGGAATTTTGCAGATGTGTATGATTAGCTCTGATGGGTGTGAAGAAGATGGGAGCCAGCTACTTCTCAGTGTTGTTCAGTGGCAGGGCAAGACACAAATGGACACAAAATTAAATGCAAGGAATTTTATTTAAACACTAAACCCCATCTTTTTTCCTTTGAGGATGGCCAAACAGTGGAAGTTTTCCAGAGAGGTAGATTCTCTGTCCTTGGAGATACTGACTGAACTTGGTCCTGAGCAATCTGCTGTAACTTACTCTGATTTGGGGGTGGGGGCTAAACTGGGCTATCTCTGGAGGTCCCTTTCCACCTCAGACATTTGTGATGTAAGTGCAGGCTTTACTAACCTTCATAATCCTATTCTTCAATTAATAGATGATGTATGAATAATAGTATTTTTCTGTACCTTCACATGCCAAACACAGTAGCCATAACTGGAAAAATGCTTTTCCCATATCATTAGATCAGAAAAAAGTCTTAAGAATATTAAAGAAAACCTGCTGGCCCGTTGCGAGTAATGGGTTGTTTAAAGGCAAGATTAACCCAGTGCTCAGTTATTTGTGCCACACTTGCCATGTCCTTTGCTGCAGTTCTGATTTACTAACACGGTAATGCAGTGCTGCTTGATGCTTGTAGTAGAGACATGTAGGGTATTTAATAATTACTGTTGAGGAGATAAAAAGGCATGAGCAATTTGTGTACTGAGCAGATGTCGTAAGAAGCAAGGATTCTGTTATATTTGTATATGGTACAAAGACAATAATACCACACAGACTTTCTGACATTGGCTTTTAAAGGTTTATAACTGTATTTAGACCTGTTGTACTGATTTTTTTAATATTTTGATAACTGGTAGCCTTAGTTGTAGGTTTCGTCCAGGTTTCCTCATGAGTATTCTACATTTGAAACTTGGAAGATTATTAGCATTTGTTACAAAGCCTTATTGGGAAAAAAAAGCACAGTTCTTGTTCAGTTGGCATTCTGTACATGGATAAAATCTCCTAGTAACATAAATTTCTAGGGTCATCCTACATGCTATTAAAAAAACATCTTATCTCTAAATCTAGAAATGTGAAAAATGTCTCACAAGTCTTTCCCTGTAATTCCTCTTTTCAGGCTGCTACACCTTCCACTTCTTCAGATAAAGAAGATTTCTTCCCAGGCATATCAGAGAAAACCCAGACTCCCACAGCAGCCCCAGAGAATGCCACTGAAGGTGGGATCATGCTACTTCCCACTAATACCGCACCATCTGAGCCCATGCAGCAGTTCACACCACCTGCTACTGCTGCTAAAGCAGGTAATGTTTCAACTTAGCTGGAGATCTTGGGGGTACCTGCAGGTTGAATGGAGGGTGGGCACGGCTTTTCTACTGTCAGGTTTCCAAACTGTTGTTAGTAAGAGCTCATTCTTTATCTAAATGTTACATAATCCCACTTTAAACCTGTAGACCTACAGTAACCTTAGTAACACTGTAAACCCCAGACCCTGTAGTCACTTAATTCTGAGGCAAAGCCCTGACCAAGTCCACCATTAGTGGGAAATGACAACTCAAGGAAATACAGCAAAGTAAAAAGCAGAGATTAAGACCAGTTTTAAGTGATTTAGGTTCTTTTTTACTTGGTAAGCAATACCTGAGGCTTTCTAGGATTTCAGAGTAGTCTCTTCTAGCCATATTGTTATTTTTGGTGTGACTCATTGGAACATTGTTCCCTCTTAGAAACTCTTCAGTAGTAGCCTATCTGTAGTTGCCAGATACCATGCAGCAGCATAGGTGGGACCTGAGGAAGTACAGGAAGTCCTTAACGGTGGAGAACGTGGCCTCCAAATCCTGGGAAAGCAAAGTTTTGCTCTAATTTCAAAACTGTAGGGATGCTTATCACACTTACAGCTGCAGAATAAATGGTTTTATTTTGAAAAGGATTTTTAACCACCATGTCCTCTGTAGTTGTGTTAAATTCTGTGTGTATGTTCATGTATCTCCTTTCTCCTGCTGAGTTTCCTGCCTCTCTGTGCACACTGACAAGGGGTTAGAAGGGCCACAAGAAACAGAGAAGCACACGTGTGTTTTTCTGCACTCCTAATGTACTGAGGGATTTGGAGACCTAAGGTCTTTGCTTCCTGGTAGAGAAAGTCTGGTTTGACACCCTCTACCAAAATGCAACCTGGCAGCCAGGATAGCAATAGGTATCCTGGTATAAAGGTAACAAGAAGACATGAGCTACAAGAGATTCCTCTCCAAGATAATGGATCATCATTACCAGCTGTTGACTAGGCAGCTCTTCTTCCTCCTCCTGTGAAAGAGTAGGTCGAAGAAGGTCCAAAAAGGAGTTTGGAAGAAGAAGCTGAAGGGAAGGTTGTGATGAATCTCACTATAGGTACTGCTATATACAAAGATTGCCTAAAGTTTCTGTGTTCTCAGCCAGACTGTCTAGAAAGTCTCAATGACAGTCCCTCCTTCTCTCTTTTTGCCATCATCCTCTTCTAGACATTTTATTATCCTCTCATGTGAAGGTCCAAGTGCAAGCCTTTGCTCCACAGGTGTCCAGGGCAACTTCCATGATCAACTGTGAAACCTTGGGTGAATTTAAGTAGCAGTGACAGAAAGTGTGCTGTCAGTGTCTTCACTTCATCCATTTTTAGACCCATCAGCTGCCACTGCTGAGTGGCTTCTTTGGCATCTCTTCTGCATTTGTAAGTTGGACATTCAGACACCAGTGAATTCTGCCTTCAGAGAACTTTTTTTCTGTGGTTCCCCAATATTAAAAGCGAGATATTTAAAAGATTTGAAATACAGGACTAAACGAACTTTCCCTAAGTTGTGTTTTGGTATGTTTCTGCTAGGGGCTGTTTTTGTGTACTTTGGCATTTTTTGAAAGAGAAAAGTTTTCACAGACAAGGACTGGATAGCAAGTGGATTGAATGGGCAGTTCAGATAAGAAATAACTATTTTCACTGCTATGCAAGTGGATTTTTTAAAAGGAACACAAGATGGACATTGGAACCTGCCTTACAAGTGCCACACAAACATAGAAGTAGTACTTCTTGGCTAAAGAAGGTGTGATATTAAAGTTCTACTATGCTTTTTTGTCTTCTGAAATTGTCTTTTTTTAATTCCTGCACTTCCAGATACTGAGAAAAATACATAACTCTTTATGCAGAGTGTTGTTACCTCTGATATGAAGGAAAATGAGAATGCTTTTCTCTGAAACAGAAATAGGGAAAACGTCACTTCATAGTTGGAAAAGAAAAACTTTGTTAAAAAGTGAGGGAAACACAATCATGATTAAATAGATTATTATTTTATACTGTATTAAGGATTTTTTTTTTTAATTATCATTGCCTGTTCTCAGTAGAGTACTTGTCAAATTTTACTTAATCCATTGCAAATAATATTAGAAGATACTAAGTTTATATCAGTTCAGTCTGTTATAACATAGTTTACTCATCCTGTCTTACATGCAGTTAAAGAACTTACTGTGTCTGCTGGAAATAACATACAAGTGATGTTACCCAAAAATGAGGTTGAACTGAATGCCTTTGCTGTCCCACCACCATCTACAGGTGAGTTCAATGCCTTGGTACACAAGGAGATGCACACACTACCAACTTGCAAATGCAGACAAGTTCTGATTTATGTGAACTTGTCTATCCACCACTTGGGATACAACAATTTTTTTCATTTAGAATACTGCCTCTTTTGTGGCTCTAACTGCAGAAAGGATTTTGTTCGTTGGATTTTTAAAGAGGTTTTTTTTTAAGTGGCTTTTACTTTCAGAACCTGAACTCATTAGCCAGATGGTTCAATAGAAAGTGTAGTTTTTGACAAAAGATGATGTGGCCTAGTTTTTAGCATCTTGCTGTAAAGCTCAGGGGAGGCAGGAAAATAGATTTTGAATGCAGCATTTGCCTTAAAACTGCCATCTTTTGAATTGCAGGAGCAAGTAAAAGATATTTCATAAGTAGCTATGTAAAGTATAACTTCACATGAAGCGGGTTTTTGTGAAGAAGTCTGTTATTTGTGAAGTCCATTACATCCTTGCTGTTTTACCAAGTTGCAACACACTGGGAGTTTAACATGTGGTCATACTGCTTAATTTTACAGGCTTAAGCAGCAGCAGTCCTAATTTCATCTGTAGCATTTTATCTGATGAGTGGTGATGTTGAGTTCTTTGTTTTCTGGGTTTATCTTGAACACAAAACTTATTGTTCTTATGCTGTGTTATTGCTCTTAGAAACAGCCTATACCTATGAGTGGAGCTTAATCAGTCACCCTGCTGACTATAGTGGGGAAATGGAGCACAGGCACAGCCAGACTTTGAAGCTCTCTCATGTAAGTGAGCTGTAAGCTCAGACTCATTATGTTTGTGTGGTTCTTTCACAGAATTTTAACCTGTGGGGAAGGGCACCTAGATTCAAGGAGTTTAAATGGCTTCAAGCCATCCTGAGTCTCTTCACCTGTTTGTGTCACCAAATTTATGCCAGTATCTTAGAGTGCTTTAATAATTTTCTAAGATAGAGTAAAAATTTCTCAGTGTTTGCTTCATGTGCCCCATTTCCAGGCAGTGACTAGTGGTCTTTTATGCTTGTGTTTATAAAAGTAGTTTGAGGATTCAAACATCCAGATTTATTCTTTTGTGATATGATTGTCAGGTTTAAGCATACTTCTTTTGTATAATTCAACATGTAACCCTATTTGTTCTGTGTTTGTCTCAGTTGTCAGTGGGACTTTATGCCTTCAAAGTGACAGTTTCTGGTGAAAATGCCTTTGGTGAAGGTTTTGTAAATGTCACAGTCAAACCAGGTAAATCAGTTGACTGATATAATTAATTTCTTCGACACATGTACAGCATACTTATCAAACAGTCTCTGTTTGTCAAGGACATCTGGCAGTCTAGTCATGCTAACATGTTTCATATCTGGGTGTCTATAAGGGGTTTTAAGGAAATAGAGTCTTTCTCACTGTGTTTAAGTGCTCTCTAGTCTTTCCCCCTCCTCAGGCAAAGCCTGGGGTATCATCATGCCTCCTCTCCTGGTCCTGTTCTCCAGCTAGGGACAGCAATCGTGCTGATCCAGCTCTATCTGCAGGTTACAGTGCACAGCTCTGATCTGAATTATACCACCTAGGAGGACTGCAGTGGAACACTGCTGTGTCAGCACACTGCTCATCAGTAACCTCTTCTTTGCCTTGTCCAAAAAGGACAGCAGATGCTGCAAAGCTGTGTATCCTAGATTTAATCACTGGGGTCTATTGATCTGTAGAATTTACATTAGTTTTTGCCTGGACTTTCACTAATATTTTTTTCTTCCCTCGTTTTCTTCCCCTCTATCTTTCCCACAGCAGTCAGAATTAACCAGCCACCTGTTGCTGTTGCTTCACCCAAAGTGCAAGAAGTTTCCTTGCCTACAACTTCTACCTTCATCGATGGCAGTCGTATGTACTGGACCATCCTGTGCTTATATCCTATATTTTTAATGAACCGTTACAATGTTATTGTTTGTCAATTACTAGTGAAATTTCTTATTCTTCTCAGAAGTTCCCTGAATAATGGTTTATTTTGGGAGTATTTTTAAATTTATAAATTATTTAAATAAATTAAAAAATTATAAAACACAACCTTGCACTTGGAGATTGAGATGAAGTGTGTCATACTGCAGCTTCCAGTTAGCATCCACTTTTACAGCTCCTCTCCTGTCCTGCCTGAAGATTCTCTGTGCCAGTAAAGCTGGGGCCATAGTAGAGTTGTCAGATAGAGTGTGATGAGGTGTTGTAATTACATTCATAATTATTGAATGCAGACAAGTCAGAATGTGCAGAGTCTGAGACTGATACATATTTTTTTTAAAATTCATGTGTATGAAGAATTGTTAAGATAAATCATACCAAAGATAACTTGGTATGACTCTGTGGTTCATTGAGCTTATTCAACTATACTTGTAGAGACAATTCTAGAAAACCAGTTATGGATGAGCATATGAATGATTTAAGTATTCATTCCAGCAATTGCTACAAGAAAGTGATGTGTTTTTCTTTAATGAATGTAGAAAGTATAGATGATGTGAAGATAGTGAGTTACCACTGGGAGGAAATTAAAGGTCCCCTGCGAGAGCAGAAGGCATCTGCTGACACACCTGTCTTGCACTTGTCTAACCTTGTTCCTGGAAACTACACCTTCAGGTACCTGCATGATGATTTTCTTGGGGGTTTATCTATGATATCAGCTAAATGTTTGGTTTTTTCAGTGTTCATGTATATCTCCTCAAATAAAAAACTTATTTTTTCTTCTTCATAATGTTACTCTTCATATTGCACAGTGGATAAACATATGGAGTGGTTTCATTAAAAAAATGCTTTCAGTGATCCTTTATAACACTAAATTACAGAAAATAAAGTATTATAAATTAAATATGTCCCCACTTCCAGCAATAACAACTGTGACAGACTAGTTGTTTTTTTTTTGCAGCTTAGAAGTTGGCTAGTGCCCTGAGTGAAGCTATGAGTCAGGCTGTGAAAGTCATCCTCTGAAGGGTGGTGGCAGACAGAATAATATTGACAGACTGATCCTCACAAGACATTATTATGTACTGATTTTACTGAGAGTCATTCTGTTCTATATAAGAGCATTTATGCATTGCTGAAGCTGGGGGTTGGCCAGACAGTGGAAGTAATGTTTGTGGTTCAAGGTGATTTAGTGAAAATCAGTCCTTTTCCTAAATGGTTTAAGTTAAAACCCAGTCTATACAGAGGCAGACTCCCCACTGGCCCAGCTTGGGTTCTTTGGCTGCCAGTGGGCTGCCTATCAGTCAATATATTATGTATCAGTGTAGCATCAGCAGATTGTTGAACACAGCATACATATACATTATCTGTGGTCCTTCACATAAGTTACATCAAATTTTTACAGCTTCTACTTTAATTCTGTATTTTTTACTGGAATTGTTCCATATCGGACAGTAGCAGAAATGAGTGTCAATTTTTTTCCACGTTAAAAAGGGCAGTGTGTTGCTTACAAGCAATGCTTCTAAGTGTGTTCCAAACCCTAGGGAATTCAGAAGTCAGTTCAGAAGTCACCCTGTGGGGGAGGGTGATTTACCTGAGCAGTAGAGCAGTGTCTTGAAGATTACAAGAAATTGTCTGGTCAAAAAAATCCAGTGTCCTTGATACACTTCCAAGTGTATCCAATTCCATCCAAGTGTATCCATTCCAATGGATGTGTACCCATTGGAAAACGTGTGTTCCCTAATGTCTGAGGTAATGAGCACAACTTTTGCTCCTGCTGAGGTTCCCTTCTGTGTGGTCAGCTGCATGCAGTTTTCATAACAGAGGTGGATTAGAGATTAGTTGGTCACCACACTGCAATTGGGAAGCTTTAATCCCTTTGAAGTGCCTGCAGTAGTCTCATTTTGAGATGAGGTGTTTTAAAACCCTGTACATTTTTAGTTTTGTAACTTGATATTGATATTAAACTCCATGAAAATTAATAATGATGTGCCTCAAAGAAATAAGAAGTGAGAATCTGCTGCTGTTCTACAAGCAGAGCTTCTGAGCATCCAGAGTAGTTTTAGGTGTTTCACTATAGGGGATAAATAAAATCCCTGTTTATTACTGAATAAATTTTTAAAAGAGTTTGCAGTGAATGGTGAAGTTGACATTGACAGCAGGGAAAGGGTTTAATCTGGGATCCAGAATAACTAGGCTTTTTTTGGTTTTTCTTAAAGATTGAAAGCTGTGTCTGTAAAGTTTTCTGAATTTTTTTCCTACCTTAGTTGAGAGATATGTGTGTCTGAAGCAGAAATTCATATAATCATTGTTTTTTGTTTAGGTGGTGTTTGAAAAAGTGCCAGGAAAAGATTACTATTTCAATTTAGAAGCTGGCAGAACTTCACCTTAAGAGATACTGTTTTTCCTGTTGTAGACTTACCGTGATTGATTCAGATGGAGCAGCCAACTCCACCATTGCATTTCTGACTGTCAACAAGCCAGTGGATTACCCACCTATTGCTAATGCAGGACCAAATCAGGCAGTCACTTTGCCCCAGAACTTCATCACACTGAATGGAAACCAGAGCAGTGATGACCATGAAATTGTCAGCTATGAGTGGTCGCTCAGTCCCAAAAGCAAAGGCAAGGTTGTAGCAATGCAGGTATGTGTATTTCTCCTAGCACAGGATTTAAAATCTCTTTTATCTTTGCCTCTAACATGAGCAGGCACATATCTAAGTGACTGCTAGAAACACTGAAATATCTAGAGTGATATTCTTTTTTTTTGTTTTTCTCTCACATGTGTTCAGCTCTTATTTTAGATACTACTTTTAATTCCTTTACACTTTTTTTTTTATTTTTTGGGGCTAAACAAACTTGCCTGTTCCCTGGTGGTTTGGAAAGACTTAAAGTTCACATTGTCTGTCCTGAACCCTAGAGGCTGTTTCACAGGCTCCCATCTTCTGAGGTTCTGGGCAGGCTGAAGACTTTATAGGAGAATGTAGGGAGAGTCAGAATTTTCTTGAAATACTTTCTCCTGGAGAGAGTAGAACTCAAATAGAAACTTAATTTTCTGAGAGAAAGATGGCATGATATTTTGGCAGTGTTTATGCCACGCTCTGTGATGGATTTTTATGCTCACTAAAACATACATTTCCAGCGAGAGCTTACAGAATTTATTCTCTTATTTTCATGACGGTTTGTGTTGTTGTTGTTTTGGATTTTTTTTTTAATCTGAGAAGCTAAATTTTCAGTAGTCTATTTTCAGTAGACTTGCATTCAGTAAGTTGGAGATTCTTACAGCTCTGTAGGCAGTTGAGATAATTAATGTAATGAATCCAGCTGAAGCTCAGGAGCTGTATTTTATGAGTCTTGATTTCTACCATGTTGACAAATGCTTTAGACGTTCAGAACTGAAAAGAGATCACTGTAGATCTATTTAGGAAAGAATATTATTAATGCAAGTCTACACTGTAGAGGAAAGTAAAAATGATGAAAGGACTTATTAGCATTATGACTTCCTCTGACCATTCACCAAGACAAAAACTTTCCAAAAGCACCCAAGCAAACTGAACTGGTAATTTTTGAGAGCTGTTCAATCTTAAAGCAACCTTTTTGAAGGAAGGGAACAACTGCTCAAAGTATCCAGTGGATTCACTGGGTATTTAATATGGAAATGCAAGTGCATGTTACAGTTTCTTTTCAACAGTAAAGTTGTAAGTTTTCTTACTTTTAAATGTAAGTTTACTTTTCTTAGAAAAACATTTCTAGTAATCTTTTTCATGTGCCTGAAGCTGAGGGCCATAGAATCATAGAATGGTTTGGGTTGAAATGAAGATCATCTTGTTTCAAAACCTTGCCATGGGCAGGGATGTCACTCACTAGACCAGACTGTTCAGGACCCCATCCAATTTGGCCTTAAACAATTCCAGTGATGGAGTAGCCACAGCTTCTCTGGGCAACCTGTGCCAGTGCTTCACCACCTTCTGAGTAAATAATTCCTTCTAATATCTAATGTAAGCCTGCCCTCTTTCACTTTGAAACTATTCCCTCTTGTCTTGTCATTATCATTAGAAGCCCCTCTCCCTCATTTTATAAGCCTCCTTTAGGTACTGGAAGACTGCAATGAGGTCTCCCCAGAGCCTTCTTTTCTCCAGGCTGAACAACCCCAACTTTCTCAGCCTCTTTATGGAGTGGTGCTCCAGTCCTCTGACCCATCTCCATAACCCTTCTTTGAAACACTCCAGAGGATTGCTGGTCTTTGGTGTATTATATGATATCCACTTTTAGAGTGCAGTGTAACAAGTACTTCTGCTGGCTAGTTAATCGTTTATCAAGTCTCTTTGTTTTTATTGTCATCTTTATTCAAAAAAAAGAAAAAAAAGAAAAAAAAAAAGCCAAACCTATTTGCATTATGATTTGGTATTCCTCAAATGAGAGATGCCACAAATGTTCACTTTGTTAGCAAAAGGACCTATAGCTGGGCTCAGTCATTTTATGAGCTTCTATAGGTATCAGTAAATGTTGCTGGAAGAGTAAACTCCTGACAGAGTTTTCTTGTTTAATATGGAGGGTTTTTTTCATAACCCTATTTGTCTGGTTTCAAGTCAAGATTGGTTTTGTATTTAGCAGTTTTTATAAGTACTAAACGATGTCATGGTGCTTGTTTTGAAAATATCCCTTAGGAAATGGAATAAGCTGTAGGAATTTCCATCAGTGTTTAATTTCCTGTTTGAGAGTGGTAGTGTTCCATGTATTATTTCACAATTATTGCTCTGTAGAAATGGTGCAGTGGTTATACCAACAGAAGTTAGGATTTATTGCCTGTTTCTCCAGATTGGTAGGAACAGTTGCAATAGTGAGCACATTACCTCTGTGCATCAAATCTTTATCTGCAAAGGTGTATTAACTCCTTGCTCAAACACTGTATTTATGACTTTAAGCCTTAATTTTTCCTTGCATTTGCTCTGTAAGACCTTTCATTACTCACAACTGTCTTGTCTCGTGCTCTGTCCTTACCGATGCTGCGAAGGGAGTGCGGACGCCGTACCTGCAGCTCTCTGCAATGCAGGAAGGAGATTACACGTTCCAGCTGACTGTGACAGACTCTGCACGGCAGCGCTCCACAGCCGAGGTCACACTGATTGTGCAGCCTGGTAAGTCAGTACAGGCACAGCTGGGTCCCTCAGGGCTGGCCCAGCCTGGGGCCTTGGAGCCATTTTCCAGTTCCCCCTCTCCTTGCATTGCACCACTGATATGGCAGCCCCAATGCCTGGTACCCCTGGATCAGGGACTTGTCCACCTCCATTTTCTGTCAAAGCAGGCAGTTAAGTGTGGAATCAAACTAAATACAGGTGGTGATCCTGAAGGTTCACACCAGCCTGGTTATGTAAGGCAACAGTGGTCTGTTTGAACATGCTTCTGAAACCCAAGTTGCAGCTCTTGAGTTTAATGTCCTACAAAGTCTATTTTGAAAGCTGCTCAGAGTATCAATCAGTGCTTGGCTCAGTTTTCTTATTGTTTTGAAATTCTCCTGCAAGAGTCCTTGTGTGATTTGAATTCACTCAAACAAATTGTGTTGTGTTTCCTAGGAAAAAGTGTCAACCAAGGACTTTTCAAAAACTGCAAATTTCACATGTTTATTTAGGTTTGGGAGCCAAATGATTTGGGCCTTGTGTGGTTTTTGTTGTTTTTTTTTTAAATGCTATTTTTTTTTTTCACAGTATATTTGCCTTTTATATCCACAGTGGCCTTTTCTGCCCAAGTGCAGGTCTCACATTCCACCATGGGGAAATGTTTTATCTTCCTGTTGCCGCTTAATATATACATCGTTTGTAGATGATCCCTTCTGGGGCAATTTTACAGCAGTCATTCACTGCAGAAATCAAGAACATGAATTGGAAGTGTAGTGTGTGGTGGTGCCTTTTAGGCACATTATAGTGTGGAGTTAGAGAGATGCTATTGCTGAAGTCAGGCCCAAGGGTAAATAAATACCCAGGAAAATGGTAGTGTTGCCGGTTTTACTATGTCACAAAAGAAGAGGGTGAGGACAGTAACAGGTTATGTTTCTGCACTAAATTCTCAAAGGCTCTGAACTGGCATTAACTTAGTGGCCTTGACCAGCAGACAAAAGGGCTGAGGGCAAAGAATTATATTTGTGTGGGAGGTTTTGAAAGGGATGGAACCAGGAGAATACCCCACCACTCATGTTTTGTGACATTTCATATAATGCATTGAGCTTGCAGGAAGATTTTTGGGAGTGTGTGCCTTTAGATAGGCCAATGAAGAAGGGAAGGACTTGCTGGGATTTGGGATCCCACTTGCTGTGGAATTCGGCTTGCTGCAGAGCTGACCTCTCCCACTTGCTGGCTTGGGCATGTCATACTTGTGGTTTGTACCTTTTGAGCCAATACATCAAAATTTTATTAAAATACCCTGTGTAAAATCTGATTGAAAACCTTGCCAGTTGCTACCTAGAAAATTTCATACACTAAATACTAATTTTGCAGAAAATAACAGTCCTCCAGTAGCAGTGGCTGGCCCTGACAAAGAATTGACCTTCCCAGTAGAAAGCACTACACTGGATGGAAGCAAAAGCCGAGATGACCAAGGCATTGTCTTCTATCACTGGGAAAATATCAGGTATCCAAAGATTTTACTAATCTGCAGTAAAATAGAGAACAAAGTGGAAGTGAATTGATCTATAGCCTCTTATCCAATCATGTTGAATGATGAATCATGAATTATGTTTGAGAATTGCTTTCAGGGCAATCCCACTTGGGTAGTAATAACATAAGAAATAGCAATTTTAAGTTGAATTTGAAAAGCTCAGGCAGTCTCTGCCTATGTTTTGCAATGTTTCATTTTGAGGCCTACTTTTATAAAATTAAGAGAAAATGTCAGGAACCTCTGTGTCTTCTGTTAAAAAGCAAGTAGCAGGCTTGGGTTGTATCCATTCTGTAATATACAAAGTTTTTCCATTTGTGCTTAGAACTAGGGTTTCTCAGTCACTTGTTTGTTGAACAGTAAAGTGTCAGTCACTTTGCCCTGAACTTCCAGTAATGGGTGACTAAATCACTCTTGAATGATGATTGAAAATGTTTTACAAAAGCTTATAATTGTATGTTTATGTGCAAACCTAACTGATCCTTAATAAAAGGGCAAGGTATTTTAGCTCATGCAGCTGTCATGCTTGGTACAGGAAGAGGTCTGCTGGCAGCCTGTACAGGTTATGAGTGGCTCTTAGAGCAATATAATTTGTATGAAATAGCTATTAGTTATAGCTCTATTTTAATGCTCTCATGAAATAGAACCATGGTGAGGTTGAACTTCTGGGGGGTATTTTCTACTCTGGGTGCTTTGAATGTCTTGGAAAAAGGCATTAATGAATCCTCTAAACTAAACTAATGTCTCAGACAGTTCTTTAGCCATCAGTGCTTATAGCAGTAGTAGAACTACAACAAGTCAAATAAAAAGGCCTGGGTCATGCTGCTGAACTCACATTTTGGCTGGCTGGGCGCGATTATTTTTGTGAGACGTTTTGTTTCAGTGGGCCAAGCTCTGTACAGATGGAAAATGATGACAAGGCAATAGCAACTGTGACTGGTCTCCAGGTTGGTACCTATCACTTCAGGCTGACTGTCAAAGACCAGCAGGGCTTGAGCAGTGCATCTGTGCTCTCCATTACTGTGAAGGAAGGTAAGCCTGGCTGCTGCTTCTTAGGGCATGGTGGGCAACTGGGTAGTTTATTCATTTAACTGGACAGAATATTGAAGAAAATCAGAACAGAAAAATGTAACATATTTGTGGTTATATTTCAAATGTGTCTAAGAAAACTGCACTTTTGTAGTAAAGTAGTATTGTGAGTGACTGGCAGAATTGATTTCATTTGATACAAACAGTTTTAATGTTCAGTGTATGCAAAATCAGTTGTAATAAACATGGTCCAAAATAATATTTTTGACAATTGTATGTCTACATCATTAAGAATTGTTTCTATTTTAATGTTTGAAATTAAGCTTTGGGCAGAAAAGAAGATTTACTGTGGATTTTAAAGTAGCATCCAAGAAGTGACACCTCAGTGAACCAAGTTCCACTTAAAAATTTAGTATTAAAAGACTTGGGTTGTTTGGTTTTTTTTTTGTTTTTTCTTATTTTGGTAGTGTGTTGTTGTGGTGAGTTTGTTTTTGTTTTTGTTTTGGTTTTTTTTTTAATTATACAGAGAAACAGTTGCTGTAATGTGGGGTATTTTAGGTTTTTTGGGATATTTCCCAATGTGCATGCTGTGGAAGAGGCTTTGGGATAATCATGGTATCATAGAATGGTTTGGGTTTGAAAGGACCTTGAAAATCGTCTTGTTTCAAACCTCCTGCCATAGGCTGGGACATCTTCCACTAGACCAGGTAGCTCAAAGCCCCATCCAGTCTGGCCTCAGATACTTGCAGGGATGTGTTGACTTCAGCAAGTCCAGGATGCAGTTGGATTTCTGGACTGCAAGTGCACATTGCTGGGTTGTGCTGAGCTTCTTGTCAGTCTGTTGACTGACACCCCAAGTCCTTCTCTTCAAGGCTTAGTGGCATTATCCTGACTTCTCCCAGTCTAGTCTCTGCCCAGCTTGTACTTGGGATTTCTCTGACCCACATGCATCTTGGAAAAGAAGCTGGACTTTGTTTTTCTCATGTGCATCATTGCTTGAACTGTTTTAGAGTTTCAGTTAGTGTTCAGTTAGAAATACATGGCAACAGCTCTGCCCATGTCCATGGTCTTGTTTTGCTGTGAAGCGTAGCCACAGTACTGTCTACAGTTGCAGGTTTGCTAAAATACTAATACTGAAAATACTCGGTTTTTCAATAACCAAGTTTAGTCTGGTTTTACTTGGAAGACAACAACCCTATGCTGTTACAGTCAACTCCCTTGAGATCTACCCAGGACTGAATTATTTATGTCCAACTATTTGTGTCCAGTGAGGTATTTCACTCAGCCCCACAGCTTCCTTGAGCCCTGACTTACTAGTTCTGAAAAAAATCAGTGATGTCTGGTTTCTGGAAAGAGAACATGTTCATATTTCTTTGGCTTTTTTTCACTATACACCCAATGCATGCCTTAGTTTCACTGCTAGTAGCGAGCAAAAAGCATTTGGGAATTAGACTTACTCGTAAGTTTCCTGACTGCATTTTGCCTAAGTATAGGCATTTTGAAGATACAAGATCTTGCATAAGCTTCTATTGGGTAATAAGCAATTTTCCAGATGAAAAGGACCCAGCACGGTGATCTCACACTGGGCTGTGTTTCTAAGTAGGCAGAAAATCTTTTTGCTTGACTGAGAAGATCTGATGCTTAAGTTATTGTAAGACTGTAAATAGAATATCCCACAATGCTTTTTGAAAAAGATCTTTCTCCTCAACTGCAATATGCTCAGAGCCAGATTTTGTATACCCACTCATCCCTTCCCTGGAGCTTTGACATGAGGTTCTGTTGTTATTGTCTCTAATCATCAGGTAAAGAATTGTAGTGTGGGTGTATTGGCAATGGCATGTCACATGTTTTGAAAGCAAATCCTTCTCTGCTATTTTTATTGCTAGAGAACAACAGTCCACCCCGGGCACATGCTGGTGGGAAGCATGTTCTAGTGCTTCCAAACAACTCTGTTACCTTGGATGGCTCAGGGTCTGCTGATGACCAGGGGATTGTGTCATATTTGTGGATTCGGGATGGTCAAAGCCCAGCAGCTGGAGTAAGTTCCTTGAAGGTTGTAACGAAATTTGGCTTTTGTTATTTGCAGAACCACAGCAGGGGGAGCAGGTACAACCCATAAGATGCTGTCAGGTGTGGTGCCTGTTTCTGTTTTGTCTCCCCTGCTCTCTGTAATGCTGTGTCTCAAGAGGCTGGTGTTATTTTCAGTGCAGCTAGAGAATATAGTAACTGAGGACTGCATCAATGCAGAGTGATTGGTGTAGTATGAAATCAATGTGTTTGAGAAAAAAAAAAAGTCTGAAATCCGGATATTCCAAAGGAGGAAGGGTCTGAGAGAAAAAGTACCAATAAAGATTAAGGAATCCTGCCTGGTAGCATATGAGGTAAAACTTAAAGTTTAAGGTAAAAATTGTGTTTGGCTTTGCATGTGTGGGCATCTTCCCTGGCAGACTATGGTGATTAGCCTGGTGCATTAGGGCAGTGCATTCTGCTTTCTGATTTGGGCAGACAGCAGAAATATCTGAGGATAAATTTCAGTTACTTGTCAGCTAATAGAACTGGGTTAATTTTTTTTCCCCTATTTACAAAAAGTGTTGTGGACAGCTCTGGTCTTAGGAAGATAGTGGTAATTCAGCAAGACTGGGAGAGGAGAAAAAGCAAAGTCATTAAAAAAGAAACTTCTAGAAGCAGTTCATGTGAGGGTGTAAGAATTGAAGAGGTTTAGATTAAATATAACTGGCAGAGTTAATAGTTGAAAATGCAGGAACTCCAGTGAGAGGAAATTAGGAGTTTAAAAGCAGAACTAAGGATTTTGGAATAAAATTGAGAAATAATAATGTAACTCTCTTGGATTTTCAAGAAGATGAGTTCTTCACATTGTCAGCTGTTCTCTCTTTGGGTTTTTTTTAATGAAAATATCCATAGTGTGCAAACATCCTCATTAACTGTCGCTTCCAAATTTCATTACTCTGCCATAAACTGTGGGTAGGTCACGTTTGTCCCAAAAGTCAAAGCAAGAACACAGCATCATACCATATAGCTGACTTGATAATGAAACCTGCATCTTTCTCTGAGGGTGTAACTATTCTGGACCTTGTTTTTGCAGGATGTGATCCATGGCTCAGACCACGAGGCAGTACTGCAGCTAACTAACCTTGTGGAAGGAACCTATATTTTCCACTTGAAAGTGACAGATGCTAAGGGAGACTCAGATGTTGATTCAGCAACTGTTGAAGTGCGGCCTGGTATGACAATTAAAAGGTCATCGACATGTTGTGAATACCACATCTTTGTTCTCCTTTTCACTTATTTATCCAGATGTTGATGAGAATCTCTCAAGTTAAAACACAGAGGAAACAGGTCTCTCTCTTTCTGCCTTCTTACTGTTCTGTGACTAGGCCCAAGTGTGTTAAAAGGTGACATCAGGATTCTTAGCTACTACAGTTGCTGTAGTTGGGATCATAAATAAATAAAAATTATACTTACTACTTAATATTTTCATTAGGCTTTTGTTGCTTCTCATTCATTTTAGGGTTTTTGTTTCTTTTTCTGGTTGTTAATTAGTTTGGCCAATAGAAAGAGATGGGAGCTGACCATCAAATTTAAGTACAAATGCTGCTGTTTGATGGTCAAAAGTGTGGCTTTGTTTGTTTTCCTTCTTTCATCCTGAAAGACCAAAAAAATCCTAAAAGAATTTCAGGGGGTTGTAAATGCAGATGAAATAGGTAAATGATGGAAGTTGAAGTCTCAGGAAAAAAAGTCTGAAATCTTGGGTCTGTCAACCCCTGATTTTACTTCTGTTCCTCAGTTTACTGTTGAATGTAGTCATAGTAATTGGATTATGAGTCTCATGGGATATCTGTGAAGTTTGTTTTGTTTGCAAGACACTCTAGAAGTTCAAGCACCATATAACAGAAACCTTTGTTTGTAAGGGTAGGCAGGTATCTGTTATTTCTCAAATTTACCATCCTCATTTAGACTTGCTCATAGTCTTGCATGCTACAGTACAAGTCCATCTTTGGTTCCCTTTACCTGGGTGGTATTCAGTAGTTGATAACTAGCAGGGAACTTGGTAATTGGACTCACCTAGTGCTTATCTCTGACTTTAAGACGGCAGCATTTAGGGGAGCAGAAGTTGCTCTTCTGCACGGAAATGTGTAAATGCTGAAAGTGCACCCTGAAGTACTTTATTTCTGTTCATAAGGTGGGTTACTATCTTAGGACCCACCAAGTTTGTTTCATAGAGAATGTGACAAAATAAGCTGAGTACTTCTCTAGCACAAAAGAGTTGGCTTATCAGTGATATGGATCTTGTGCAGAAAACTGTAGTATTAATGAATATTTTCAGGTTCTGCATATTGGTACTGAAATATTTGCCAGGTTCTGAAAGAATAACATCTTCTTCTTCGGTCAGATCCCAGAAGGAGTGGTCTGGTGGAGCTGATCCTGCAGGTTGGAGTGGGACAGCTAAGTGAGCAGCAAAAGGACACTCTGGTGAGACAGTTGGCTGTACTGCTGAATGTTTTGGATTCAGATATCAAAGTTCAGAAGATACAAGCCTACTCAGATATAAGGTACAAATATGTCTTTCTGTGCCAGAAAGACTTGTGATTTCTTTGCTTGTCTCACAGCTCATAATTGGTTGAAAAATAATATTTCCTAAGATGTCAAAAAATGCTATACTTCTCAACAGAATATACTTTAAAAGGTGAATTTCTTCCATGGTAGAAAATTGATGAAGTAAACTCTATGGAGGCTCAGAAGTGAAGTTTTTTTTTTTAAAAAAAAGAAATCCCATTATTTCTGTACAGATTTTTTTCTTTTTCCTTTAAAGGAAGTGCATGCATATATATTTCAGTGTCTTTGTTCCATACAGTGCTGCTATTTTTTTCCAAATGCTGGATGGAGCAAGATAAACAGACTTTCTCACAGTGAAGCAAGTATTGTATTTCAAATTAAGGTCCCAGCTCTATTTAATCAAACCTATTTTATTTCCCCTTTTTTTTCTACTTCTTCTCCGTGGTTTTGATATTCTTAATATTTCATAAACATTTTCCAAGGTAACTTGTGATGAAAATCCATTTTTTGCACAGAAAGCTCCACAGTGGATTCTCTCAAATGTAGTATTTTACTGTAAAGGAGAAATACTCCCTCTGCTTGATGTAGAGTCCTAGAGATGGCTGTATGTACCCAGAGAAACTTCTCACCATGGTTGGTAGAACCTGTTTACATGAGTTAGCTTTAAATTATTTCTTGTCAACTACTTGGTAATTTAAAACCTATTTTGGTGATTAGCTCTCCGGGAACCTCTCAAAATTTAAAAATATAGTGTGGAAAGTCTACTATTTATAGTTATGATATTTTTAATCACAGCTTTTCAAATTAAAATGTTCCCTGAAGTGTCTGATACAGGATGAGATCAACACCACCCAACTTAAAAGCTGTGGATGACAGGGCAGGAGAGCTTCCACATGAAGTTCTCTTAAATTCAGTTTCCTAAAGTTGGTGAAACTGCTTCAGAGTGTTTTGGGACAGGCTCTATATGAGAGTGGAGGAAGCAAATGTATACATACTTCTTAAAGCAAAAGTCACATTATCCTCTTCTGTCTTCTGTGAAACTGAGAATCCCTAGAACTGCTGATGCTCCCAGCTCAGAATGAAGATCAGTTGATTGTTCCATGGACAGTTCCCTAATCTTGATCAGTGGTGACACTGGCTTTCTAGAAGCAAAAATGACTAAACTTTATACTTTATTGCTGAATGCCTGGCAAAAATTATCTGTGACAACGGTCCTGACCTTCGCTGTTCTTTCTGTAGCACCGCAGTTGTGTTCTACGTACAGAATGGGCATCCTTCCACAGTGATCAAGGCATCAGAAGTCTCACGGACTCTGCATGTGCAGCTTTTGAAACAGAAGGCTGACTTCTTGCTTTTTAAAGTCCTGCGAGTTGACACAGCTGGTATGTTTTGGATTGTGCTTGCTCATCTCAGAACTTTGCAGACATTTGGCTAACACAGCACCTGGAAACACTGCATGAAGTCTTTCTGTGTGCCATCTGGTGTCTGGGCTTGGTGGGTGTAGTTTTACAAAAGATGATGTTGGAGACAATACTTAAAATGCTTCACAATTTGTGATAGGTAGAATGCTGCCAGTCACTCTTAAAAGGCATCATCTGTGTCAGCAGGCAAAAGCACATCTTAATCTGGTCTGTATTGGGAGCCTGTGGAATGAGAATAAAGATACTTTACATACTACCTTTTCTTAGCAGATGTGTGAAACTTACTATAGCCATAAAGTAGATATGTTTCATATCTCTGCTTCCCTCAGGGCTGTTAGAGTTCAGTAAATAGGCTTGTAATCTAACTTGTTCTTGTCTGCCTGTATCAGGCAAGATGGGTGACTGCTGTGTTACCCATTAGTCTTCTAATCTTTGCAATGTGCACAGGCCACTGGGGTTTCCTATAATGAACTCTTTCTTTTGCCCAAAAAATGCTTGAACTTCTAAGCTTATTTTAAGCTTCACTAGTAGCGCCTCCCCTTTATAAGCCTTAGGTACTTCAGACAGGACTTCTACAAAATTTAAAATCAGGACACAGTAATTCATGTACAAACAAAATAAACAAGCCCTGGTGATAAAATAGTCACTGATTGTGTAGTAAATTCTGTCTTTATATACTGGTGGAAAAGGTTGTTGTTCTTTTATAAATATAATCTGATTACATTGTTTCTCCTCTTAGCCAGCAGTCTGCTAGACCATAGATCTATTTGACACATAACCCCAATGGAAAGGGAGTTTCAAAACATATCATAGTGTTATGAGCCAGATGCTTTGCCACCAGTCTAGTCTAAAATTAAGAGGATGTATGACAAGTTGTCCATTTACACAACCTACCCAGTGTTTGGTTCTGTTCTTAGCCTGTCTTTTGAAATGCTCTGGACATGGGCACTGTGACCCCATAACAAAGCGCTGCATTTGCTACCAGCTGTGGATGGAAAACTTGATTCATCGTTACCTAAATGATGGAGAGAGTAATTGTGGTGAGTTTGGGTGCTGTGTCTTTCAAGAGTAACTTGCTATCATGTGAGACTGTTGATTATTTGTTCTCAGAATGGGGAAGACTTGAGGGAAGACCAAAACAGTCTCTGTTTTTCAGCCCAACAATAGCTTTCTATAGAAAGATATTTGAATAATTTCTTGAAATGATATTTTGACAGTAGTAGCCTAAATTTTAAAGAAAATCACTATTTGATGAAAAAAATGTGAGAACGTGGTCATGGGAGGGAGATTTTGCAGCAATTTGGGGCCAGTTGGAGGGGTTGTACAATAACATGGGCTTTGCAAAGCTTTTGAGTAGGACTACTGCAAAGTTGGAAAAGAGACATCAATTTCAATTTCTCTGAGTGGGTGGTTGACGCTTCAGTGCCAGAAGTATGATCTGATCTAAGCAAAGAAAACATCAGTGATCAATACTGACCTTTAGAACCTGATAACACTGGTAACTGTGAGCATACATGTACTGGAGTTCAAATTATTGCACATCTTTCTGTATCCTTTCCTGTTTTCCTGGATTTATACATGTGAATATGCAGGTAGAAGGTTCTACCTCTAATCAGCTCCTCTTTTGAAGCACAACTAAAGTGCCAGATCCATAGTACCTCTGTTTCAGTTAGGGAATTGTAAGTGAGGTGGTAACCATGACCCTTTGCAGGGCTGTCAGTTCCCACATAGGATTTCAGGTATCTTGGGATAGTAAAAGGTATTTGAGAGGAAGAAAATTTTCTAATGTGCACTTCTAATCTTAAAGCTGAAAGATTTTTAGGAATTCATTTAAGAATATGTTCGTGCTTAGTTTTCCTACATTCTTGTTGCCGCTCCCCATTCCTCAGGACCAGTTATTTTAATAGAGTTGTATTAAAAATTGTTTTATTCATGTGACCTTACAAAGCACTGTTGTATTTCTTTTTTCAGAGTGGAGTATACTCTATGTGACTGTATCTGTTTTTATTTTGATTGTGGTCATGGTAGGGCTTGCCTGGTTCTGCATCTGCTGCTGTAAAAGGTACATGATTTGTGTTTCTTTTTGATGAGATAGACACAAAAATTGCACACAACCACCATTATTTTAGTCGAGTCCATAGCACTAAACTAGTGAGCTCGTTTTGGACATGTGAGAAGCTTCCTGTAGCTGTTTCTTTAGACACATACTTCTTTTGAAAAAAAGGACTATCCATTTGTGTGTCTGTGTTCTGCATTACGAAAACCAGAAAGTTAATGTTGCAGTATCCTTTGTATTAAGTGATAATTAATGTTAAAAGCTGAGAGTATACTGCAGATCTTCATTCTCTTACTGAGTCCTGCAAGTACTCCATGCTAAGAAAAAAAAGGCACACCCTGAAGGTCACTGATGTAGGAATGTTCTAGGCAATGGGAAAGGAATCTGCTTCCAGTCTGGTTTCACCCTTGGACAGGAAGTGTGGGTAGCTAGACTGCATGTGGCTTATAGGTAAGGAGTACTCTAGTGATTTCAGTCATGCAGACTTCTTGCCTTCTCTTTCCTTAAACAGGAGCATTCATACTACTGAATGTTGTTTCCTTCCCTGCCTCCCCTCCAGTCTTCCCTAGTGAGCTGATAAGAAATTCTCTTTCAAGTGACAAGCCCTACAAGTTCTGTCACTAGAGCAAGTGTTTTTGCTGAGGCTCAAACAGCTCAGCAAATAGATAGCTTGTTCAGATGTTAGCAAAAATAAAATGCCATCAAAATCTTTCTGAATTTTCATCTTTTTCTAGGGTGTCTTTGCAGTATGTAAAGGATGTGTAGGAGTCAATGCCAATTTTATTTTTGTGCTTGAAGGAACAGTTCTGTTAATAGAAAACTTTAAATAGTAAAGTGTGTCCCATTCCACTCCCGCAGTGTGGGATGGAGCCTCAGAGGCTTGTGTGTATTGGATGATTATTTGAGGGATTTTTTATGAGTTCAGCTGCTTCTGTCCTTTGTCCTCATATGGCTTGTGCCTGAGAATGAGGACTGATTGCTACAGGTCCATGTGAAACAGAGGAGGGAATTACAGCACAGAGAGAGATTCCCTTTGCCTTGTGGAAACTACATGAAAAAGACTGTGTAGACTTAATATTTGGCTGGAGATTTGGAGGTTTTAAAAACTTTGAGTTGCCAGATGAATTGTACAGAAGATCATGGAGGGGAGGCCAAGGCTGGCTGTTGCTGTAATGCTGGCTGAACAGTAAGGTAGCTTCTCCAATGTGAACTGTGGGGGCACATGAATATTCATCTACTGTGTTTGTAGTTACTATGTTGAAATTGAGCAAACTGTGGCTTAGGAGAGAAAATCAATCTGCCTTGCTTTCTTCATCTTTCTGTATCAGTGAAAATTAACTATACTGTCTTGTCCATATTGTACTGCCTTATTAAGGTATAAACTGGAAATATTTTTAGGTAGAGGTGACAATGACATTCTGTGTATTGGGGTATGTATATGGAAAGGAAGGGGGGAAGATTTATGTGCATACATGAGAATTAAATGTCTTTTTGGTTATTATCTTTTAGCAGGAAGAGAACAAAGATTAGAAAGAAAACAAAATATACCATCCTAGATAACATAGATGAACAGGAGAGAATGGAGCTACGGCCCAAATACGGTACGTGCTATACGGCAGCCTGGGAACTCACCCACCAAGCGTGCAGCCAGTGTGTCTGAATTGATACCTGTAGGCAGGAGGAGCCCAGAAGCAGGCCTACAAGTTTGGGAATGGCAGAGATAGACAGTGAAGTGGTTGGGGGAGAATCAGTTCATTTTTTTAATAAAGCTGTGAGCTCAGCCTCTGCTCTGAGCTTCTGAGTTTATCTTAATTTAGAACATTTAATTGCCCCACAGATTTTCACCATGTAAGCCTTCCTTCTCTGCACATGCTTTAATTTGGAGCTGTTTCTGTTGCTGCACAGCAGTTCCCTCCTGACCCATCAGTGCCCTGTTAGACATCAGTAGATTTCAGCAGCTGTTCACATATCTTTTAATTTACCTGACTTTCAGTTTTTAGCAGGGGAAATGTTTGAATCCAAGGAAATTAAGTCATTCTGAGAAATTGCTGTCCTAGAAAGAGAGAGATAATGTTTGTGTAGAAACCATGACCCTTCATTGCCACTCATGTTAATAAGGTCATTGAGTGGACAGACTGATTTCCAGATTCAAGATATTGAAAATACATTGGGTGTGTACTAAAATAATCTAGTTGTTTACATTTAAATTTAAATACATATATTCACATTTCAGAGCCATAAACTGATGGGCCTGCAATGAAGTTATAAGAGTATCTGAAATGGTATATGATACTTCTTAAGCCAGTTTTTGTATTGGTGTATGCTGTTTTTATGCATTGCACTGCAGAGAATGTTTTCACTTACCCTTCATATCACAGCAGGAGAGAAGATGGTTATATGTTACTAAAAACCCAAGCCTTTCTAATGAGTTTGTTTTTATTTTTTATTGTCAGGTATAAAACACAGAAGTACAGAACACAACTCCAGTCTGATGGTCTCTGAGTCAGAGTTTGACAGTGATCAGGACACTATCTTCAGCAGAGAAAAGATTGAAAGAGAGAATTCTAGAACACTTATAAATGGGTCCCTCAGAAATGGAGTTTCCTTCAACTACAGCTCCAAAGACAGATAACTGAATGAGGGTAAAAGCACAGAACGCACTGGTGAGACACATCTGAAATATGTTGGCCCACCTCTGTTTTTCCAGAACCAAAATCATCTTCAAATATCCACTAATTGCAGATTAAATTTTTAGCACAGATAGGGGAAGGAAGAAGGAGGGAGAAAGGGTGGATGGTCAGCTATCTCCTATTGTCACCATTATAGGAATAAGAAAAAGCACCTCTTATTTCTTGCATGTTCTGTGCTGAATGTTTGAACTTCAGAAGGCCTTTTTTTCTATATCACTGCTACAAGAGTAGCCAGAGCTGTTCTGCTACAAGCTCTGGTAACTAACAATGGCTTACAGATTCATATGTGCTCCTGATGCTCTCTTTGAGAAGTGGTATGATTTCCAACAGAAAAAGCCAATATAGATGAAGTTCCTTACAACTATAGAGAGCAATATATTGCCACAGGGTCCATCTTAATTTTCAGTTTAGGATGGAAACACAAAGAGCATTTTTTGTGCATTGCCTTTATCCAACTGTACTTTGTGACTTCCTTTTCTAGGGTAGTGTTCATTGGGTGAAAACATTCTTGTTTTCAGAGAAAGTTAACAACTAGAGCAGTTGCACTGGATCAGCTGTAATGTAACATGGTATATCTGAGTCCTGTAGGATGCAACGTTCCCTGTACTCACATAGGAGGTGTGATGCCTGCTGGGAAATCCAGCCTTAGGTGTCTTCTGTAATGATCAAGTTGCTCTGGCTCTGCCATGTCCATCCAGGAAACTGTAGCAGGAAGGACTTGGTGCAATGAGCCTTGAGAAGCATTTTGAGCGTCCCAAACAACCTTTTTAGATCACTTTGTGGAGTTCTGGACCTTTTAAGACTGAATGCTCAGCTGAGGTGAGTTTTCATCTGTCAGCATCAAGTGCTCAGTTAAAGAATGTGCTGGGCTCTTGTGCTGTGAAATGTTTGTGGCAAATACCCTGTGTGGAGCAGGAGGTTCATTGTACTTTCATTGTCGTGGTAATTGGTACTGAGCAGTGTTTTAGATTGAACATGAGATTGTTTGACTTTTTCCTCTCTTGCTGTTGTGTGACTGGATGTGTTGGCCTAAAGAGATCCTTTTAGGTCTTTGGCAAGGGTAGGTGTATTGCAGTTCTGACATTGTAGTTCACAATCTGGGTCATTTCTTCACAGTCTGCTTGTTAGGCTTTGAAATCATGGCCCCAAAACTGCTTTTGAAATCCACAACTGAAGACCTGACTTTTATACACAGGGCTCACTTGTGGGGGCATGTGTGTTGGTGTTACTGTTTAGCCATTACCAGCTATTCCTGAGGGTCCTCTACTGATATACTGAAGTCTAGGGCTGAGATGGAGGCATGATGTGTTTTGATGGAGAAAACCTTTCTCTGGGAACATTTTTGAAGATTTTTTTTTTTTTAATATTTTGGGAGTTTGTTTTGGTTTTGTTCAAGTTTTTTAATCCAGTGGTAGAGAACCCAGTATCAGAGGATGAAACAGTATAGGAAGCAGTTTAGAAGGGTTGGGGAAGACACAAGCCCATTTCCTTCATGAGGAATAATGTAGAGAATTTTGGGGCTTTCTCTGTCCTTTCTTAGAAGTCTGACACAATAGAGTAGCTGGGTTGAACATTTTAGCTTCTGTGCTTCTCTTATTAATGGACTTGGGCAACAGTCAGAACTGCCTAGGCTGCAAGAAATCAGTGGCCAAAAGTAGCAGCAACATAGCATGCTCATAACTTGTTTCATACTTTTGATTCTCAAGTGCAGTCATCAACAGTCCCTAAGGCTACTAATTCAGCACTAAGGAGTAATTACCCTGTGTGAGCAGCCCTGCATTTTTCTGGAGAAATTTGTGTGGCTGCAGGAGTCATTGTGGTGGGAGAGGCTGGGAAGAGAGAGCTAAAAAGGGCTAATACAGGTGTTGTTTATGTTTTTCCCGTATTATCAGCAAAGTGCAGTATGAATGGTATGATTTGCTTTCTTCAGAAACCAACTCTGTGTATGGGGGGTGTAGGCTATTTCTTGAAACCCATTTTATCACACTCTCCCTTGTCTTGAGAGTGTGCATGTGTATATATATATATATTTTTAAATAACTTGGTCAACAAAAGCAAGGTCAGCTTCTGATGTCTTTCAGTTCCTGCTCCAGATGTATTAACATAATAAAAGCAGTGTTCACTTTAAAACATTCCTGAAAAAAGTTAAAGCTCACTCAAAATAGTAATTTATTTCTTTCCTTTGAAATCCAGATGCTGGGCTTAATCCATTATGAACAACTACACAGGATGTTCTAGCAGGAATTATTCTTTTGAAACGTGCATTTTTAAACAAGCAAATAAGTTATTTAAATAATTTTGAGTTTGTATGTGCTGTGCTGCCATTGATGTTTCTGCTAAATACTGTCTCCAGTGTGCCTTTATCTATAAGCTTACCTTCTAGGACATGTCAGTGCAGTCAGCAGCCTCTGTTGGTTTTGTGACTTTAGTGACTTATGTCTTTTGGGTTTATTTTATGTTTTTTAAGCCAGTGCTGAAACCTAGGATGTTCTTCTTTGAAGGTATTGAAATATCCTTGTTTAAAAAACAAACAAACAACAAACCCCACCAAAATCAAAAACTGTTTCTCTAGTAAAACAAGTCCATGAATCATAAACCTGCATTCCTTAATGTTGCAGAATTTCTAGGACTATTCCCTTGCCTGCAGACATACACATGGTGGGCCCAGATCTTTGGATCTCTGGTAAGTTCATGGGCCATGAGAACTTATGCATGATTTGGCTGTTTCTCACTTCAACAAATAAGAAATTAGACCAATTTCTCATTGTATAAGGCCCTAGCAAGTGGAAGTTGCTTAGTAAATTCAGTTTTCTAGATGATATTTTGACATCTTTGTTGCTAGCATATTTCAGCTATGTTTTTAAAGTTGAATATAGTTAAAATTTTCCAGCTGCTTTTGATTCTACTAGTTTGATTATTCCACCTGCTTGGAAGGAGAAGTTATTCCTCTTACCATAATAGCAGGCTTGCTTTTAATATATGGCACTTGTGCAGAAGCTGAAAGCAATAATTTCTGGCTCTCTGAATTTCTGGTATCACGTTTGTGTCACTTGGCCAAGCATATTTGCATCAGGAATTTAGGAGAGACTATAGCAAGCCTTGTATCTTGATTCAGTATAATTGTCACTTCTAGAAGTACTGCTTTCTTGCAGAATGTCAGTTTATACCATGAATGAAAGGGTCAGAAAACTGGCTGTAATGATGCAAACACAATGGCAGAATTTGGATTCTAATGGTTTGGTTTAGGTTATTATAGGTTCCAAGCAGGTTCGCAGTCCTCACGTTTACTTCTGCACACTGTTTTCCTGCACATACAGAAAGAGTACTGGCAGCTGATTTGTAAAGCAGGGATGGGGCTATTCCCAAAAGACTAATCTGCACTGAAAAGCAGAGGAGACCAGATAGAGCTTGTCCTGTGTGGTTCAGTCTACTGAAAATAAGGAATAATTCAGTTTGGAACTGCTAAGGTACTGCCTCTTGATGAAGGCAGGCAGTGTGGTGATACTTGCAGTGCCTCATTGCCTTGAAGTGTAAGGAATGGATTTTCATTTGGATCTTGGTTTTACACGCACAAGCAGGGATTGTACAGCTATGTAAAAGGACTGCTTTTGTTTGCATTTTAAGGAAGAAGGGTATTTTGGAAAAAAACTTCCTAAGCATTAAACAGGTTCAGTACCCAATTGTAGTATCTAATGCAGTACATACACAGCATGAAACTTCCATGGCTGTGAACAGGTAATTGTCTTGTGGATTTTATTTTCCTAACCAAAATCATAGTGCAATATGGCAAAAAATTTACCTTGTCAAATCTGTTGAGATCCACATCCAAATTCTCTGTCCTATGGTTCAACCTGTCATATTAGGTAGAGGAAATAAAACAAAATGCACAATGTCTAACTACAGATAATTGTTTATTTGCATAGGGGAAAGAAGGTTGTTCTTGGTTTTTGTGTAAGAATAGATTATCAGCTCTGACCTTTTAGTAAACAGTCTTACTCTCCCTGTGTCAGATGCATCAGATAAAAGTACTGTTCAAGCATCTTGTTCTGTGCTGTCAGCTGTTTGATTATATGATGTCAGTTTTCCTTCCCTTGGTCTCCTGTGGGCAAACAGAAATGCACACACGTGCAAGAAACTTAACATTAGAGAGTGAGTGCATGTGTGTGTTCTCTGTGCTGGTGCTCTTTCCTCAGATATTGTGATGTTCTTGAAATAACTGGGTTCCTAGGCAAATGTTCTATTCCTGCTTTTAACCTTAAGTGAAACTCATTTTGCCCCTCAGTATACCAGTAACAGGCAGCAGTCAGGTGCAGCTTCAGGATGGTAGTAATAAAATAGCAGTAAGTATAGTCCTCTGACATTTAGGTGAGGTTTGAGAGAGGAAAACTTTCTTCCAGGAGAAGGGAAATGGAATAGAGGTGAATTAGTTTTTTAATGTCAGTTATTTGGATCCCTAACTTGAATACTAATCCCATACTTCTGCAGCAAAGAAAAAACCATTTAATGTACCTTTTATATCCTTAACTTCCCAAGGCAAAGGAGGAAAACATAAAGTTTAGAAATAAAATTTTAAGAAGGAAACAAAGGCAAATGATTTTTGCACAGGCTATGAATCAGGTGCAGATGAGCTGCACATCTGTATTTTGTGTCTGTATGAAAGCACTTCTCCCTGTGGGTGGATGGGTGAGCTATTACAGAATTTATATTAGGAATCTGTTTCTAGAAAATGTTATTTATTGCAAATGCTATTGTATTGTAACTGGAACCATTTCTGAGCTGAAATTACTACATTTATGTAACTATTAATAAAGTTTTGTCTTTCCTTTTAGAAACTTGTCAGGTACTCTTTTAAGCATGGTATTCTATATCGGATACAACAATCAGGCCAGGCTAATAGACATATGTTGTCTTCCATAGCTTGTCTGTACTCAAACATAAAAGCAATGCAGTAGCTGATTCCTTCCCTCCCTACTGACAGAAGCATCTTTTATTAGAGAGGCGACATCCTTCAGTAGATCAGAGAGCAGCAAAAAATAAATAATTTACTGCACTTCACAATGAGTTTTCATGTGGCATTTTTCCTTACTTGGTTTAATTAGCTAAATTTAATTTAATAAATTAAATTAAATTAAATTAAAAATTTAATTTATTAGTGTATAAATAATCACCAGCTGTCATGCCAAGTGTGGTGGTTTCACAGATGTTGTGGCTTACTCTGTTACCAAGATTCCATACTTGAGTCCTCTGCTTAGCAGTAATCAGAGATACAGATGTGCAGTACAACCCAAAATATGCTGTTAGAAAGGGGTAGGTTATGCCACCTCTTTCTGAACTGGAAAAGAAAAATCCTTCCATCATTGTATATTAAGTTTGTGCTGAATAGTGATAATAAAAGGTGCTATGAGATACAAGTGTCTTTCTGTAAGGAAAAAATCCTGTGCCATGAAAGGAACTTTCTACGTCTGTTTGGATACATGGTGCCACAGTCTAGGTGGTACCTCAAAACCTTGCCACTGGACTTCAAGGGAATACTGGTAGCTGAATGAGCTGATGCGATACATGTGCCCTTTGTTGAAGGATGGAATCTGCCCCTTTGCTATTGTACTGTATATTTTGGGAATGGCAGTAGCCCTTCCCCATCCCTGTGAGTAGGTGGTGCAACAGAAGATAATCGGCATGGTTCCAAAACAACTTCAGTCAGTTGTGCTGAGCAGCTTTGGCACACGCTGATGAAGTGACTAAACCATGAACTTCACATGGTTCTTCTTGGAAGGACCTAAGCAGGAAGTTTTGACCTGGAAACCCTTTAAACAAGCGCTAAAATGTAACTTAGAGCTTCTTAACACCATACTTAAATCTTTAAGCTAGCTAACTTGTTAATATCTAGTAGAATACGTAAACATAGTTTCTTGAGAGCTTGTTAAACAGAGAAGACAGGCAGTGGAGGCAGTGGCAGTGGGTGTGGGGGTGTGTGAAACAGGTGTTTAAGGAGTACCTTAAGAAATAAAATAGAAATTGGCCATGACTGTGTCAAGTTGAAAATTAAAAGACAGTTTCTCAGGCTTCAAGGCTGTGTTAAATAAATAGAAATAAAAGAGCTCCCAAGAGTCTATTTTAAATCTTAATGAATGAAATAAAGAATTATGCAAGTAATCACATTACAAAAGCAGGGAAGACACTAATCTATTTTGTGATAAAATGTTTGACTCAGCATAAAAGACTAGTATACAAAATGACTGATGGCATATTACTATGCCAAAGTAGTCCCATCTATTTTATTTAGATTCAAGAGACTGTAATTGGGGATACCAAAATCTTACACTTTCTGAACATGTGGGTACATGTGGCTGCAACTGGGGTGCTGTGTCCAGTTCTGGCCCCTCAGTTTAGGAAGGACGTTGATGCGCTTGAGCGTGTCCAGAGGAGGCAACAAGGCTGGTGAGGGGCTTGGAACACGAGCCCTTTGAGGAATGGCTAATGGCTGAGCTGGGGTTGTTTAACCTGGAGAAAAGGAGACTCAGAGGTGACCTTATCACTCTCTACAACTGCATGAAAGGTGGTTGCAGTCAGGTGAGGGTCAGTCTCTTTCACCAGGCAGCAACTGACAGGAGAGGACACAGCCTTAAGCTGCGGCAAGGGAAATTTAGGTTGGACATTAGGAATAAGTTCTTCACAGAAAGAGCGATAAAGTACTGGAATGATCTGCCTGGGGATGTGGTAGAGTCACTATCCCTGGATGTGTTTAAAAAAAGATTGGATATGGCACTTGGTGCCATGGTTTAGTTGAGGTATTAGGGTATGGGTTAGACTCAATCTTGAAGGTCTCTTCCAACTGTAGTCATTCTGTGATTCTGTGATACAAAGAAGTGGTGTCTTTTCCAGGGATAAAGCTGTCAGAACAAAATCTTCTGTGCAAAGCTGAGAGACTGAACTTAATGTGACTGTCAATTTGTCAGTTCAGCACTGAATAAGGTAATAAACAACAACATCTGGTGCTTTCATGGAAGTT